GCTCCAGCCCGTCCCTTGGCACCGGGTCGCTGCCCCAACCTCTGCCCGCGGGTGTCTCACTGGGGGTTCCTCAGGAGGGTCTCCCCTCTGCAGCCGAGCTCAGCTTTGGCGCCGGCGTGAAGAGAGGTTATGAAATTCTTCTCGGATTCTTCTCAACGTTGACGACGTCGGCTCCTCTCCGTTTGGCCGCACCACATCTAAGGGCAGTGGAGACCAATTTCCATGGGAGCAAAAAATACCAGTGGTTCAGAAGCTACCGGTGTCGTTTGGTTTTCACAAGTCGCGGTTGTCTCCGGGTGATTTGATGTACAGGGACACGACTTCTGTGCCCTCGCTGATGTAGCTTCCTGCACTTGCTGCCTCGTCTCTCCTTGGGTGTATTTTGGGTCACTTGCTGTTGCGACCCAAAAGGTTTATTCATAACCTCTCGTGGTGCTTGTACACAAGTATCAGTAAATATTCTCTGCTGCAGCAGAAGGTTTCCACTTTCCACACCTTTCACATGAGGCAGATGTTGCAAAATCAGGTTTCCCTTGGGCATGACCTTTGGTGGGCATCTCTCTGCCAGTCGCCAGCTCGGAACTGGCTTTGGACTGTCTGTATGACTGGTACATCTGATGCCTGGACTAACGTGGCTCCTTGGGGTGTGCTGGGTGTCTGATGGGTTATTAGGGCTGCTAGTTGTGCCATGAAGCACGTGGCAGCAAGACAGCACTGCTTGGGTCAGCCAGGATGCCTGACCTTGAGGTGGAAATGTGCTAGAGGTGTAGTTCCCTGGTGTTAACCCAGCTCAGATGAAGCTCTCCCCAGGAGCCGTGGTCCTGCTCTTTGTGTCTGTTCCCGTTCTTGCTTTCAAGCTCAAGCAAATACCAAGCTTTTTTTTTTGGGTTGATCCAACTTGCTGCTCGGCCGTGTGAGCACGGGGAGGTGGTGGGACAGGTGAGGGTGGAGTGAAGCTGGGACAGTCCCTGTTGGTGGCATCCTGCAGGAGCAGTGAGCTCCTGCATCCCGGGGGCGCGGAGCCCGGAGCCGTGGGGCTGCACAGGAGCGGTGGAAGCGGCGTCGGAGTTTCCAGCTTTGATGTCTGCGTTTGCTCTGGCTGCAGCCGCGATGCTTTCATCTCCCCAACGCTGCGCTGGGTTTTCGCTGTGCTCAGCTTGAATTTTTTCCAAGACATCACACTGCTGAAAAAGCAGAATTTGCCTGTGGATTCCAGTGCAGCCATCAGTCGGTGTTTCTTGGGGTGATAAACTTTCCAGGAGAGCAAGGGTGGAGCGGGGGCCTTTTACGTGCCACCGAGCCAAACCGCCCAGCAGCGGGACCGAAGCCGTTGAGCAAATTCAGATGATTCCTGCTTGCAGCAGCCTCTGCTGTGACACGCTGCTGTTTCTCCCAAGGAGAACCTGCAAGTGCCATGCCCGGATTTTCATGCCTTGATACGTTGGTCATGTTTAATGCCGTGGAGAAGTTCCTTGTTTAGATGTGATTTTGTTAAACTGATCACGGTTTGATTTCAAGTGGTGAGTTGTAGCTTTGGATCCTCACGAGGAGACCTCTGCTCTGCCCGTGGCTCTTCGTCCTGCTCTGTCTGAATCCAGAACTGCTCATCCAGGACAGACACTTCACAGCACCGTGGCTTCGTTTGACCTTTCCAGTCCTCTGCTCGCCATTAAAAACCTCAAATTTGACTGCCTGAACAAAAGATAATTCTTCCTCAATCAATCTCTTTTGTTGGCGACGTCCTTCTTAAGTATTTACAGATCTGCTGGGGATATTTGTGAAGTTTCTGTGGTTCACGGTGGCAATGGGCTCACTCAGTAGGACCAGGAGATGTTGCCTGTTGCTGAACTAGAGCCAAGCTGCATCCTGAGCTGTGCGGCTGGACTGGGATTAAATACAAATTTTATGCGGATTTTCTTAGGCTGCCCCTTTTTCCTGTTGATAAGAAGAACGGGTCCAGAGGTGCCTGTAGCTCAAGTTTGCAGAGAAGCACCCTGAAATCATCGGATCCTGCAGGCATCAAGCCTTGATAGTTGCATCAAGCCTACAACTTCTCTTTCCAGCTTCATCCCTTCCTAAAATGACGTTGAGTTGTGTCTGAGCGAGCCGAGGGTGCGTTACCCTGCGTCCCTCATAACTTTATTTCAGTAACCAGGCTTGGGCTGGGGGGGCTCTGAAGGGCTTGTCGGTGATGACTCCTTGGGTCTAGGGTGGGTGAGTGATGCAGCCTGGGTCTGGAAATGAGATATCTGTTCCAGCACTTTTATTCTAGCAAAGCCAAGAGGTGAGGCTCTCGACTGCAGAGCTGGCAGCGTTGCTGCTGAAAACCCTCAGAGAAAAATCGAACCCTAAAAATATGCCTGAGACTAAGAATGGCTTCTGTAGGCTGGCACTTAGGGTGCTTTTTTTTAATGTTCTTCGCTACGGCTTCACCTTGCGGAGCTCCCGGTCAGCGCAGAGCCCCCCGGGGGTGTACAGCTCCGCGGGTCACAGGGGGCTCTGGGCTGGCGAGGCTGGGAGCAGGTAAAGCCAACCCGAGGGTCTGGGACCCCAGAGAGCACTGAATAGTTGGGTTTCTTCCTTCCCTACGTGAAATCCCCATCGTTTGAGTCTTGCTGCAGTTTATCTTCCTGGTCCTTATGTCCCGTAGGAATTCAATTTTAATTGCAATGCACTCTCTTCACCAAGTAAGGCTGTAAATTTACTCCTTTGCCCTTGCTCTGGGAATGGGATTCTTCACCTTCCTTAAAAGCCTTTCTGCAATTGCACTCTCCCATATTCCTTAATTAGCACACTCCTAATCCAAGTGGTTTCCTTCCTGATTTGCCCTTTTCAAGACTGTTATCCCGATGCAGAAATTGTGGTAGAAGTACTCGACGGTGTATATGTGTCTTGAATTTATAATGGTCTCGGTCTTAAACTTTCCATAGAATATTCTGTTATTCTGTTCCATTATTCTCTATTATTTAAAAAGTAGAGATAATGATCTTGGTATTAGAGGTGACATGGGTAAGTCCCTGTCAGATTTTAGTGAAAACTCAGCAGCTCACCATGAGTTACTTCACGAGCTACTGCAGTTATTCCAGCCTTCAGCTCTAAGGTGATAGCATTGAATTATCATTCGTGTTGGTATGGGGGATATTTGGAAATTGGTCACATCCCATCATTGTTCCACTTTCTGAATTGCTTCTGCATTGAAGCATCCTGTTTTCTGAGAGGACTTAACTGCTGTTAATGCTTCCTAAGACATGAAGCCCTGGTTGGAGCAGCAGCCTCCCAAGACCAGGTTGGGTAAACGTCAAACTCCGGTTCAACTGGGAATTCCTGCAATGCTCTGTAATATCTCATTAATGCATCCCGATGACTGATACCTAATACAATTCCCCAAGCATGTGAGTTAATGAGATTAAAACCATCCTACGGTAATCTTTGTCAAGCTGCATTTTGTTCTTTTTGAGTAATACATGGGAGCGTAAGTTCTGTGATATTTAAGCTGTGGTAATCTCAGCTCTGTGTTTACTTTAGCGTCGATGGGTGCCGTTGGGCAGATTAACGAGGCTTCCCTAAATCTGTAGTAGGACTCCGAGTTATTGTGTGGCTGACACACTCCAGCCTTTGTGTTTCTGTTTCACTGCCCTGACTCGTGCTGAGCTGCCCGAGCACATCCCAGAGCAGGTACAGCACCGGCCACTTACACAAGCGATTTAATTCCGGTGGCTGATAATTAGTGAGGGGCTTTGCTATTTTTAATACGGATCTCTTATGTAAATATGGGTGCGTGTCTGCATTTATTTAAAACATGCTGTAAAATGTATAATCCCTGTGGTTTGAGGTCCCGTGCTGTATAATTCATGGTCCTGTGTGACGTTGTGGCTGTGTAGGTGGCGGGGCTCCCCGAGCTGAGCCTCTACACTGAATAGCAGGGGGTCCTGCCTTTGTGTGTTGAAGCAAAGATGTTGTTTTGACATAGGACAAAACCCTGTATTTCTAAACAAAAAAACCCCACCCTTCCATTCTGTTTTGGAACTGCTTATGAGATGTAGGCTGGAAATATATTACAAGAAAAAGATTGATAGTGATGCTGGGATGCAGAGCACCTGTGCTAGATGCTGATTAGAAAAATTTGCAGTTAGTCCTGTGCTGAGTTCCTCCCTGAATGGGCTGGTCTGACTGTTTTTTCGTGCTAAAAGGTAGTTCAAGGAGCACTGTGCAGCTTCAGACACCAAGGCTGGTTTTTTTGCCTTTTCTAGTGCCTTTCAGACAGCTAATCCATGCAAAAAGCCGCTGTCGGCTGAGTATAAATATTGCCTGCTCTCCTGAGAAACCCGTGGCTGAGCTGCTGGTGACTCCTACCAGCCGGGTGGAGAGAGGTTCTGACTTCACAAAATGCTCTGCACGTATCCTCAGTGGCTGTGAATCCTTATTTTTATGTGGTGATGGGTCAAAACTTAAATCTTTGCTCTATTTTATAGGAAAACTTTTTTTCCCCCTTTTCTTCTGAGCGTAATAACAGTAAACTTTGTGTAAGGTTGTGCTGGAAAACGATGGCTATGTCATATCTTGGTTGAAAAAGCAGCCCTTTTTTTGGACATGCCTCATTTTCTGCGAGGGCTGTCACATCTCCCCAGCTGCTCAGCCGGGTGGCAGCCCTCCTCCGGGGCTGTGCTCTGCCTGGGCTTTGGTGCCACGGAGGGAACTCCGCGTCTCGTTCCATGAAGTCCAAGCATTTACGCTGCCAAAGCTGGATGCTTTCATGTGGTCGTGTGATGGCTTTGAAATCCATTTGTCTCTCCGAGGGTGTAGCTGAGCAAAGCCTGCACTGGTTTGGCCTTGGGTTCATGCGCAGCGTGTGCTGAAACTTATTTGTTTGCTGGGCACCGTCAAACAGAAAGGACACTCGAGGGGTAAAAATGAACCTCTGCCCAGTGAAAGATTTACACTCAGAAAGAAGAATATTAACGTCCCGTTGACTGATTTCAATTCTTTTCGTATTTTTCCAGCGGAAGGGCTTCCCCAGGTGTATTACTTCGGACCATGTGGAAAGTACAACGCCATGGTACTAGAGCTGCTTGGTCCTAGCTTGGAAGATTTATTTGACCTCTGTGATAGGACGTTCACTTTGAAGACGGTATTAATGATAGCCATCCAGCTGGTGAGTACCGGCGGGCACGGCTCTGCCCGCAGCCCCACGATGTCGACTTGTGTTTCTGTCAGCACCGGGATAGCTGAAGGAAGGGTTGGTGCAAGGTTTGGGAATGTCTGTTGGTTGGAGGGAATCTCCTTCCAGCATAGAATCACAGAATGGTTTGGGTTGGAAAGGACCTTCCAAGATCTAGACCAACCCCCCTGCCATGGGCAGGGATATCTTTCACTAGATCAGGTTGCTCAAAGGCCCATCCAGATTGGCCTTGAACACTTCCAACAATCCTCATCTTCCCTGGGCAACCTGTTCCAGTGTCTCACCACCCTCATCCTAAAGAACTTTTCCGTATGTCCAATCTAAACCTGCCCTCTTTCAGTTTAAGAACATCACCCCATGTCCTGTCCCTGCAGGCTGGGGTAAAAAGTCTCTCTCCATCTTTCTTATAAAAGAAAACTTCTCGGGTTTGAGAAAAACTGTTGCTTATGAAGGGAAGGTCAAATTATGCTTATGTGCAAACTTGCTCCTTGCGTAGCAGAACCAGTGAAGCTGGATTCCTACGGACTTGCGTCCTATGTCCCCTACACACCCCTGCCCCAGTATCTACCCCAGCTCCCTCCCTCTGCTTGGACATCCCCAGAACATCTCATTTCTTACCCGCTCCCCGGGACACAGGGAGCACAACACCCTCCCACACTCCTACCAGTTTGACTGGTTTGGTGCTACCGGGCTGTTCATAGACTGAAACCTCTCAGAGCGATGGGAGCTGAGCTCTCCTCAGCCAAAGTACCAACACTCAGGGGCTCTGCCTCGGTCAAATTTGGTCAAAACTGGCCAATGGGTTTAAATGACTAACAGCTGGAAACTGGTAGACGTATGAGCAGCATCACAGAGCCCCTTATTTGCCTGAAAACAAAAGGAGACTAAGCTGAAAGTGGTACCTTGGATTTGTGTTTGCATTAAAAGTGGATGATGTGAAAGCTGAACACAGTAAATGCAGTGAGTGAGCTTCCACCAGTGGGGAGAGCCAGGCAGTTACCATTTCCAAAGGCTTTCTGGTTTTCAGCCCATGGTCTGCAGGTACCTGAGTGGCTCAGCAGAGGTGGGACTGTCTGTTCACGTTAACGGATCTGTGGATAGCAGAGTTGAAATAAAGAGAAGGTGCTAAGGGAGTAGGGAACACAATCTTTCTTAATGAATTGGTTTGCCCCAGCAGAATCTCAAAGGGAAAACTGAGGTCCCAGGTGCAGAAGGTTGAACAGCACCTGCCTGGTGTTGGGTTCATGAAGTTGCCCTCCTACCGCTGAGCAGTCTAGTTTTGTTGGCTTTGAGTGTTCCTTCATTGGTGGAAAACCAATTTATAGCAGTTTTTAATTAAGTGGCAACAGATGGCAAAGCCTTGGGTATAGCTTATGTGACCTTTTGGTTGTAAAGATGTAAAATGTAAAGATGGGAATTTATTCCCGTGAGACTGCTGGGGAAATCAAGATTGTCACAGCAGGTTCCCTCTGCCTTTGCCAAGCCCTAGGGCTGCAGATTAGCTCTGTACTTGAATGGTCTTCACTGGCATCATCTGCTGATGTTGTGACCTCAGCTGGCCTGCCAGCTCATCTAGACACTGGCACCAGTTTGAAAAACAGATGCTTTGGGTGATGTAGGGGGACACCAAAAGCAATTGCAAATGGAGGAGTTGATGTTCCCCAAAAGGAGCAGGCAGTGCTGCTTCTTTTGCCATGGGGACATGTTTTAAGACCTTTCTGATCTTCTCAGGAAGATGACATGAGTTACCAGCTTGGAACATATGCATTTAAGGGGACAGATTTAGCAGATTCTGGCGTGCCCCTTCCCTCCCCTGGCAGGTTTCCTGGGAGAAGGGCTCACCTGGCCCTCGGAGACGTGTTTTCTGAAGGGACTGGCACTTACTGCTGGGCTGCAATGAAAACCGTTCGCTCCAGCCACAAGGCTGTGGGGGAAATGGTCTTGGATTTGTCTTCATTCCTACACTGAATCATTGCAGTCACTGTGTCATACTGCAATGTGAGAGACACAGGAAAGCTGAACTGTCAAGTCCAGTTGGATTCACCTCCATAGATTGTTTTGCTCTTGCTTCTGAGCCGCCAGGTCTGCTTAAGCTGCTGGGATTCTCACCCCAGGCCTGAGGAGACATAAGACTTCCCTGCCAGAAGCCAGTGTGTTGCACAAGCAGCGTTTCTTTCCTCTGATGCTTGACACACCTGGGAACGGAGCCCAATATCCAGGGAGTCTTCCAAAAAACTGTGAATGGCCCGGTGCCACCCAGACAGCGGAGGAGCACCCTGTCCTGATGTAGGGAGTGAGGGACAACTCAGCACAATGCAGAAAACTACTGCTCCAATTTGGTTCTCAGCAAAATGTAAAATTACTGGGTTTTTTGGCCCAGGAAGACCATCCAAAGGTAAAGCACTACTAGTCTGCTGGGGGGCCCCTCTGCAGTGTGGGGCTTGAGGAGCTCCCAGGAGGTGACCCTGATGCTGGGAGTCACCTTTGGGTTGCGTCTGCAGCCTTGGGCTCCATCCCCTCTGAGAGGGAGGAAGGAGAGCTCTGCTGTGGATGGTTTTGCGTTGGAGCAGCAACACTGTCAGCAGGGGTGTCCCGAGGTAATGGGATGTCAAGTGTCCCCCCTTTTGTCCTTTCTCCCTTCCTGTGATGATCCCCATGTCTTCAGGAGCATCCAGTCCCTCCTCTGCTGTTTGTGTGGTCCCTTTGCTTTCAAGGTCCCATTTAGCTCCGTTCTCTCCTTTCTCCCTCCTTGAGCCTGAGGGCTGCTGCAGCAGATCTCCAGCTCACCTACATGTGTGCCACATGCTAAAACTAGGCAGGAACTTCAAAAGCGGTGTAGTGGCACCTGGTCTCCTGTTTTTGTGTCCAGTGGTCAATTTTTAAAGAGAGGCATCCCTAGAAGATGTTTTTTAACCTTACGTGCTGGTAAGATTGGCTGGTCTTACTTAGCTTGACAGGTAGCAGCATCCCAGGACTGGGGTGGATCCTTAAACCCTATCAATGTTAGAAGAAAGAAAAGCCCTCTAGGAAGGAGAAACAAATATATCATCATTGTTTTAAGGAGTGTCGCTTGTGATTATGGGAGAATCTAAGACTCTCCTGGCTGAGGGAGATAGAGACTGGACAATAATGAGTTTTCAAGGAAGAAGGAGAACCCTGTTTTGAAGTCTTTTTAGATGAGATGACCCAGTAGGAAAATCTGCCTGGGCCGGGGGTGACCCACACAGCCCTCAGGTTTGTCACCAGGCTCGCATGTTCTTCTGCTCAGCGTGTGTTCTGTTCAGAGCTTGGGTTGAATCAGAAACACTCTTACTCTAACGCTCTGTTTGGTACCTCTTGGGGATAACCTGCATTGAAGAAGTGCTCTCTTTTCCTTCCCTGGTGGAGGTTTTCCAGCTCTGATACTCCTTCTGCATCTCTGATGCCTCATGTTGCTGTGCTCAGAGCATCGAACTGGAACTGCTTCCTCCATCCTCCACGTGCAGCTCAATAGATCGAGCGGCCACCGTTCCTGAATGAAGCAAAGCTCAGCAATTAAAAACGTGCTTGCTATTGTCAGTCCCTAAAGCCCATAACCTGTACAGCATCTCAGGGCTTTGCAGAACTGACTCAGTGTTTGGGCTGGGGGAGAAGGCTTTTTCTTCTGCCTTCAGTTTTTCCCTCTTAGCCAGGTCCAACATGTGCGATACTCTTTGGCAACTCAGTTTTGTCAGGAGTCAATGTTCTTTTCACCCTTGCTTGAAGTGCTTGCTGTCAGAGACAAGCTCTGTTGAGCCAGGCATTGTGCAAGTTACAGAGTGGTTGGGAAGGACCTCCGAGATCACCGAGTCCAACCACACACACACACAAAAGACCCCCACAATCTCGGGCACTAGAGCGTGCCCTGAAGTGCCACATCCACACACTTCTTAAATCCCTCCAGGGATGGTGACTCCACCACCTCCCTGGGCAGGCTGTTCCAGTGCCTGACCACCCTCTCAGGAAAGTCATTCTTCCCAAGATCTAATCTAACCCTCCCCTGCCCCAACTTCAGACCATTTCCTCTGCTCCTGTCGTTATTCCCCTGGGAGAAGAGGCCAACCCCCACCTCTCTACACCCTCCTTTCAGGGAGTTGGAGAGGGCAATGAAGTTCCCCCTCAGCCTCCTCTTCTCCAAACTAAACATGCCCAGTTCCCTCAGCCTCTCCTCGTGTGACTTGTTCTCCAGACCCCTCCCCAGCTTGGTGGCTCTCCTCTGGACACGCTCCAGCAGCGTTCTTCTGGCTAAGACGTGGACCAAGTCATGGTGAAAAGGTTTTTGACTGATGACCATCAAAATCATCTTGTGTAAGAGACGCTGTCGGGATTCAATCCCAGCTAGAGAGTAGGACCAAGCTGCCACTCACTCCCTTCACCCTGGTGGGATGGGGAGACAACTAGAAGAGTAAAAATGAGAGAAGTCGTGGGTTGAGATAAAGACAGTGTAATGAGTAAAGCAAAGGCCACGCACACAAGCAAAGCAAAACAAGGAATGAATTCCCTGCTTCCCACCCCAGGCAGGTGTTCAGCCATGTCCAGGAAAGCTGGGCTCCATCACGCGTTGCGGTGACTTGGGAAGACAAACGCCATCACTCTGAACATCCCCCCCTTCCTTCTTCTTCCCCAGCTTTATACACTGAGCAGACGTCGTACGGCAGGGAATATCCCTTTGGTCACTGGGGTCAGCTGTCCCCGCTGTGTCCCCTCCCAGCTCCTTGTGCCCCCCCAGCCCTCGCTGTCGGCGCGGGGTGAGGAGCAGAAAAGGCCTTGACTCTGTGTAAGCGCCGCTCAGCAATAACTCAAACATCCGTGTTATCAACAGTGTTTCCAGCACAAATCCAGAACACAGCCCCATACCAGCTGCTGTGAAGAAAACTAACATTACCCCAGCTAAAACCAGCCCAGATACCAAAGCAGCCTTTAAAAAGGAGGAAATTTTTCTCTCTGCTGATCTGATTTATATTCACTTTGTGGAAGAAGGGCACAAATTTATCAGGAGGGTCCAGAGATGAGATTGCCAGATCAGATCCTCAAGAGTTACATTTTGAGGGAAAGAGGGTTCATTACGCTTACTTCCTTGGCAGGAGAAAGGAAAATAAAAGCATGGGCTTCTTTGGCATCTGATTAAATGTCACAAATACCCTCTGGCTTCTCAGGCGCAGCGCAGGGGTCCTGCTCTGTGCCAGGAGACGCTCTCCCCCCCTCGGGGCTTCTCCCACATCTGAAATGGAGATTTATGGCTCAGGAGATGGACTCGGCCGGCCGTGGCCGTGGAAATCCTGCTTTGATTCACAAGCAGAGTCTCCCATCCGCCCCGGTGTTCCTGTGCCCTGCCATAAAATGCCATAGTCTGTTCTTATTGCTGTTAAAATAACAGGGCAGATGTTAACGCTGCTTCAGTCAGTTTTTCCAGTGTCAAAGCAATTCCAGCAGTTAGTCCCAGCTCTTTGCATTGGTTCCTCTGTCCATGGAAGAATTACTGCACGGAGAGCAGAGCCTGGAGTTCAAACACAAAGGAGTGGGCACCATGTCTCTGCATCCAGCACATTTCTTGGGGAGGAACTCCACTTCTCCTGCATCCAGCAGATTTCTGGAGCGGGAACTCCACTTCTCCTGCATCCAGCACACTTCTAGAGCAGGAACTCTGCTTCTCCTCCCTTTCAGCTCTGCCGTGGGTCTACGCCAGGCTGAGGTCACACTGGCACCGCTCGTTTCTTCTCAGGCAGCAAGCCTGGAAGGGCGATGCAGGGCAGATAATCACCAGCTCCCCATCACTGGCGGCCACAAGCAGGGTGAGGGTCTTGTCAGGGTCAATAAAGCATGGAGACTATTCTGGGAAACGTCGTTCTGACTTGGAGAGAGCACCTTTCAGCCATTCTTGGCTGCGCACAGCTCTCCAGCGGCGTGACACGAAGCATCCGGGCAGGTGGAAGTAAAGAAAAAGGAATATGACAGAACCAAAGGTCTGTGTGTGTGTAGTGGAAGAAAAAAAGCAGGTAAATGAGTATCTCCAAATGCTGCTGGACCGTATCTGTTCATCTGGTATCTCAGCTGTCCAAGTTGTCCTGGCCCATGCAACTTGCTGTGGGGTTTTAAGGAACAAAAAAAAAATGTGCTTTTTTTGGGCTGTGTAATCGCTGGTGGCCATTTTAACAACTGAGCTTCTCTGGCAGCAGGGACAATCAGCTGAGCCAGTCGGGCTCTGTTTGAAAGCTTGTTACCTATGGAGAGGCGAGGAAAGGCTTTGTTCCCCTTTTAAGGGTTGCATCTTAATTTGAATTGCCTCCCGACTTACCTTTTTGTCTCCCAACCTGCTGCTGTGTCCTGTCGATGATCCAAAGCATGAAGAATAGCTGAAGTCCCGAGCATCTGCTCTGTTCTGCATCACCCTGGAATTGATTAGAAATAATGGCTGGGAGCCGTGAAACCCATTTTCTCAGCGCATTGAAGTAAATCGCTACTTAGAGAGGAGGGGAAGAGCAGCACGTGCCGTTACCTTCTTTGAAGAGCCTTTGAGAAAGTCCTATTTTCTAAGACTGATTCACCTGCAGTCAATTTTTTTCCTGTCTCCTGCCCTCCCTGTGCAGCATTTTTTATTTTATAAGGAGCGCTGCCCATTCCTGCCTGTTAATTCTTTCTGAGAGGTGGAAATGTAGCAGATTTTCCTTACGAATAAGGTCTCTGATAGACCTCTGGGAGCAGGATGGAGCGACCACACACGAGTGGAGCTTTCAGCAAGGTGTGGACCCCAGATCTGTAAAGAAAAGAGAGATCTGGGTTTGCCAGCGAGGATGTGTCTGGATTCAGAGCAAGAAACCATAGAGCGAGAAACCATAGAGGTATTGGCTCTTGTGGCTGAGGCAAGGGGAATGGTTGGAAGGGCTGACACGGGGTCTGGTCACCAAGCTGGTTTTGGTGATCTACAGCAGCCTGTGCTCCAGCCTTCCCCATGCTGGAGGCGAGGATCCACCCTCCCAGTAACAACCCAGTGCAGAACCACTTGGGAACCAGTGCCTCCCCTCAGGGAGCTCCCTGGGGGTGAGTGGCTGGTGGTGCTCACCTTAGATGTTCCCCAGTTCTGACAGCATCATGCCATGAGGTCCACCACAGCGGTGTGGAGTGACCTCTGCGGACTGGCGCTCATTAGTGCAAAATTTGGAGTTTACAAGAGCTTTGTGATGGTTTCGTAGTGTTGTGGGCCGGAATGCAGATGGGTCTTTCCAAAGAAACATCCCCCTTTAAAAAGCTGCTATGCAGTCATGGACCAATACAGCCACGAGTGGGAATTCACATGTTTTCATTTAAAACCTTTAAAAATGAAAAGTTAATAAAGGAAATGAAATTGGGAATGATTTCCAATTGGAATCGCTTAATAAGTTAGGAACACAAAGGAAAACTGCCCCGCAGCCTGTTGAAACTTCACCTGTGATATATTTCGTTTCAAAAGCAACATAAGGATAAGCATCTGAGTAAGGTGTGTGGTTAGAGGGATTTCAAAAGCAACATAAGGATAAGCATCTGAATAAGGTGTGTGGTTAGAGGGGAAACTCAGGAAGAAATGTTTTACTGTGAGGGTGGTGAGACACTGGAACAGGTTGCCCAGAGAAGCTGTGGCTGCCCCATCCCTGGAGGGGTTCAAGGCCAGGCTGGATGGGGCCTTGAGCAACCTGGTCTGGTGGGAGGTGTCCCTGCCCAGGGCAGGGGGTTGGAACTCAATGATCTTTGAGGTCCCTTCCAACCCAAACCATTCTGTGGTTCTGTGATTCTATAAACGGCCCCCCACGGCCCTGGAAGTGGGGTTCCTGCCCTTTGCCTTCCCCACCAGTCATTCTGCCAGAACAGTGTTAGTCAAAAGCTGAAAAACATTCCAGTTATTCCTAGTTGACAACCGATGAGATTAATTATTCTTTTTAGTCAGTGTTGAGGATCATGAGGCTTCTGCCTGCCCAAAAATCCCCCTCCATGAGGAATCTGGCGTGTCTAAGACAACATATGGGTCGAGGGAGGAAGGTGGTAAGACACAGAGCGACAAGGGAAGGCTGTGGGCAAGGGAGGAGCTCCTGGGAACCAGCGTGGTGTGTTTGGAGTCAATACCAAAAGGCTGCTGCAGTTCCCTGGGGAATCCTTCCAAGGGCTGGGTCCCGCTGGTAACGTGTCAGAAACAGCCCTTGCCATTCCTGTGGGAATAACGTCAGGGAGCCGGGGGAAGGAGGGGATGGCAAGTTCCTCTTGGAGGCAAGTTCTTCATCAGAGGACACAACCCAGCTCCGTTGGTAACTTCTGCCTGGGCTCGCTCCCTCTGCCCTTGCGTTTCTCATGGAGTAGCTCAGCTCTGGGGTAGCTCCGAGGAGACACGTGGGGATGGGCCCCCAAAACCTCGCTGCCTCGGTAGCCGCTCTGCTCCCACCTAACCTCTGCCTGGTCCTTTTGCAGATATCTCGGATGGAGTACGTGCATTCGAAGAACCTCATCTACCGAGATGTCAAGCCAGAAAACTTCCTTATTGGCCGGCAAGGCAATAAGAAAGAACACGTCATTCACATCATAGACTTTGGATTGGCGAAGGAGTACATTGACCCCGAAACCAAAAAACACATACCTTACAGGGAACACAAGAGCTTAACTGGAACGGCGAGATACATGTCCATCAACACCCATCTTGGCAAAGGTCTGTGTGGCTGGTGGGAGCTCACTGGGGCATGTCCTGTAGAGCTCCAACGGTGGCTCTTTCACGCCCCTTGAGCAATTTGTGAGCCGTTCGGTGCCGTGATGCTGTTTACAGTTGTGAGGCTTTTCCCCCCTCCCTTTTAAGGAATTGAGACAGCTGAAATGTTGGAAGCCTTGTAATTACAGTGTTTATTAGGAGCTGTATAACTGTTAACAACCCTGCACTGATAAAAGGCAAGTAGGCAGGTAGTAATTGCTGCACTAAATGATGACCAAATAGATTTTTATAGCACAGCTCTGTACCAGTACCTTCCAGTTTCAGGTGTTAGATGTTCCCTGACCTAATAATTGGTTGGAGAAAATGAATGATTTAACTACTTTTAAACCCGGCTTTCATCTCCTCTCCTCACTGCTTGCTTTCATACCAGAAGATTACATTTCTGCGGCTGAAAGGCAAAAAAACTTATTAAATGTTTGTGTTCACATAAAATCATAAGAGCAGTAAGATAATGGGGTGGTCTTTGAGTAGCGTCCCAGTTCTGAGATCAAGGCATCACTGGAGAGGTTGCTGGCGTTGGGGATCAGGAGGGATGAGCCCAACTTCTAATTTTGGAAAAGCTGGTGAAGAGTCAGGAGGGGATGGAGGACTGGGAGCCCCGGGGGGAGCAGGCTCAGGAGCTGGCAGTGCCAGGGATGTGCTCGGTGGCGGGATTGGCAAAGAAGATCCGCTCGTGTTTGAAGTGCACCACGTAGGACCCTTCTCCCTGCAGGTTTTGCAGCTCAGGCCATGGCTGAGGCAGGGGGAGAGTCAGTTCTAGGGGGTGTGTTTGAGGAGGAGAAGGTTGGCTACCAGCTCTGCGAGGGGCTGTGTCTCCCCAGGGGTGTTTCCTGGGGCTGATGCTTTGCTGGTGAGGCCAACCCAGGTGGAGTCAGTCCCTTCACATTTCAGGTCCAAGCAAACTAAAGGAGCCTGATTACAATTTTTCAGAAAGATGAGTGCACTCAGCCATCTTCCCGAGACATCCATCTACATCATTGCACTAAATTACCCAGGACATCATCTTTTTTCCCCCCCTTTTTGCCACTGTATCAGGGTATCCTGCAGGAACTGTCATCTCAGTTCCCTTCTGCTGAGTGTACTTACCCCCAGCATCTTTCAAGGGTTAAATTTGCTGCTGCTGGTGAAGAAGTCTTTGCTGCTGCTGTCTCCCCTTGCAGATGCTGCAGCCCCAGGCACAGCTCACACGTTTGTGGATGGGCTCCATGACTCCATCCGCTCGGGATCGCTGCTGCGGGGGGCGGTTGGAGGAGGGGAGGTGGCATCAAATGAGTCTGTGAGCCCGGGGAACCCACGTCTGCGTGATGGCACGGCGGCGTCCCATGCTGTGTGCTCCGGATTTGTTGTTCTGTCTTGTATCCTCCCTTGGGATTTTTTGCTGCGTTTTGGTTGATTATTTTAAGGATGCGTTTTCCTTTGGCTCCAGGCCCCGCTTCTCCCCCCCCCTTGGTTATGATCATAACATCTGCATGGCAACAGCAGCGAGTGTTTCACAAGCAAAAGCGGTGCTGGAAGGAGCTATTTTTGATCTGCTCTGATGTGATGAGCTGCAGGAGCAATTGGGGAAGGGCTGACACTCTGACACGTGGTAGTTCCCCGCAGCTGGTCGCAGGTGTCCCCTGCCTGCTCCTCTGTCATTCAGAGGAAATAACGTGGTCCAGCACCACATGGCAGTTGCACCATCAGCACTAGAGGCCCAGAGTAATCCTAGGGAATGGCTTTATTCCTCTGAAATTACCACCTCCACCTCTTATCCATCCTGCTCAGGCTGGGCAGTATGTCTGACAGCTCCCGTGTTACCTCATGCCCTCTAGCTGGTCTTTTCTTTACGTATTTTGTGGGGTTTTGTAACGGGTTGTAGGTATTTTTGCACAAGGTTCGAGTTGCCGACAGCAGGTGAACTTCCCGGTGATCCCTCTCTCTCAGCCATAGGTGCAGCTGCTGATTAGATCTCAGGCCCGTTCCTGCAGCTGCAACAATAATTTGTCCTCTCTTCTGTTTCAGAGCAAAGTCGTCGAGACGACTTGGAAGCCCTGGGCCATATGTTTATGTATTTCCTCCGAGGCAGTCTGCCCTGGCAAGGACTGAAGGTAGGTTTGAGCTTTAAGTTTTGCCCTTTGAAACTTTGGTCTCTGTCCAAACGAGAATCTGGTGGGGAAACGTTTGCAAAATCCAGCCAGAAACGCTGTTGTCTCCTTTGTGTCCTTGGAGTCTGGCGACGAGGCAACAGCTTCACCTACAGGAAACAGTTTCAGATAGAAATATGTTACGTGTCACTTGGAGTAACCATCAGCCCAGCTGAATTGGGACCAGTCTGGAGAGAGGATGCAGCGGAGGCGGCTGGATGAGGGGCTGGGACAGGGAGAGCGAGGAGGGAGCCCCGAGCTGGAGCGGGACTGGGACAGGGAGGCTGTTTGTGAAGTTCCAGTCCCAGCACACGGTCCCCCAGCTGCGTCTGAGACACGTGTTTGTAACGGGAGCGGTTTGATGGTTTCAGACGTGCAGATGGACTTCAGCTTGAAAAAACGGTTTTCTGGCAGAAGGGTTGAGCTTGGCTTCCCTCCAGAGACGCTGGACACTCAGTGCTTAGAAGTTTATGAAATGCCGTGGACAATGGAGGGCTGCGAGCGAGCGGGCTCCGGCAGCTGCTGCACCAGCCCTCAGCTGGGTGAACTGCAGCGAGGGACCTGCTGGCACTCACTGCAGCTCCTCTCCTCCATCCATTTCCTGATGGGGAAGCTGCTGTGTTCAGCTTTGGGCTTGCAGTGAGTGAAGGGATCTGATTTGATCGGGTTAGGAGAAGGTTGATGAATGAAGACAAGGAGTGCTGGTGGTGCTGCTGGGAAAAGGAGTTCAGGGGCTCGCGAGCAGAGCGCTGCCACGGGCAGGGGCAGGGGCTGGAGGGAGAGACCTCCCTAAGCTGCTTTGTCACCCTTTATCCAGAGTTAGTCTCAGCTTGGCCTTATCAGACGTATGCCAGAAATGTTGGCGACAGCTCCTAAAAGCAAAGAAAGGGTTTTTCAAGCATGAAAGTGATTCTGAAAGAAATCAGCATCTCTCCAGCTTTAAGTTCACACCTCTGTAAGCGTGTGTTATTCCACTAGGTGTTTTGTTTCTGGCTTATTTGTACTCATCTGCTTTAAATTAATCCTGTAAGTTGTTCAAAAGCAATTCCAGGTTTAGACAAGTCTCTACAAAATTTCCTCAGTTCAGTGCTGGGCTTGAGAAAAATTGGTTGGCTGCTTCTTGAAATCCTGTATTTTTTCAGCTCCAGAACAAACACAGACTCTTCAGCTTCATCTAGAACTTGGCATCTTCACTCTGCTGTGTTTCCTCAGCATACACTTTTGGTCTCTGTTGTCTTGAGAGAACATCTTACTGTGCTAATTATGCTGCTGGCAGGTCTAATTGGCATATTTTGAGAAGGAGGTAATAAAACCCCTTGTTAGGGTGCCGACTGGAGCAGAGTTCTCTACTTCAAGAGGTATTTAGGTGGGAAATGTAACTGAGAATCGTTTCATTTCTTTTGATGACCAGCTGTTTAATCAGTGCTGCCTGAGTGACAGACACTTTGGGGGTGAAAGGAGAGGGAGTGTGGGATTTGGGAGGAGTGTGACTGATGTAAACTCCTTATCTGTGTTATTAATGTGCTGGCATTCTGTCACACACTGTAAAAACCCGACGTGCCCAAATTGCCGTTGCGATTTATCTGCTTTTACAGTTGTTTATGAAGGTGTTGGGGTTGCCAGTGGCTCTAAGCCGAGGACTGACGTGCAGTCAGAGTTTATGCAGCTTTATTTTCTTGCCCATGAAAGCTCCCCTGCACGGTCCTCAGGACTGGTAAGAAATTAGCCTCAGACACTAACACGTGCCCTTCCTTACGAAGGTGAAGATGTTTTGATGTCCTTGGATATTATTTGCCAATGGCACGTAAAATGTGTAGGGAGAATTCCAACGGGGTGAGACAGGATTCCCCTACGAAGGTGAAGATGTTTTGATGTCCTTGGGTATTATTTGCCAATAGCACGTAAAATGTGTAGGGAGAATCCCAACGGGGTGAGACAGGATTCCCACAAGTGTAGTCTAGGATGCAGTTCAGTCACAAGCAACGTCTTCTGATACCACCCAGAATCGGTGTTAAATACCTTGTTTTTCTTCCCATACAGCGTGTCGTTTATCACATGGTTGAACTCTCTCTCCCCAACTGTTTTGTCTTTGTGTGCTACAGGCTGACACCTTAAAAGAGAGGTATCAGAAGATCGGGGACACAAAGAGAAACACTCCAGTTGAAGTTCTCTGTGAGAACTTTCCAGGTAAAGCCCCGCTGGGACTGTTTGAGTGCAGTTGGACATACCTTGTTAAATATGGTGGTTCTGAGCTCCTCCGGCAGAAAGTGTTTGGATGATGTTTATCCAGTATGTTGTTCCTCAAGTTGGGAGACAACTGGAGCTGCTGCTATAGACTAGTGGGGCCTGAGAGCTTGTGGCTGTGGGTTAAAATGACCATAACTCTTCTCATTGAGGAGGCTGCACAGTGCTCAAATGCCTCATGTTCCTGCTTTACTTCTTGCCTTCCTTCCAAAAGAGAACCTTGTTATTTCCTTCTTTTCCCTCTCCCAAGTGACCATGTTGGATCTACCGAGTTAATTCTTTTACGAATGGAAGGTTTTACAGGTGTTAAGATTTTAGGTGGCAGGCTTAGAAGATGACGTGTCTGTCATTGAAGTCCACCTTCTGACAACTGTTCTAAGGAAAGTGTTATTCAAGGTGTGCTTCTAGCTAAGCCCAACACCTATTCTCCAGTTAAACAAAAGTCTACCTTGGAGCTAGGAGAGCAGAGTATGAACTTAAAGCCCTCCCCAGATATTCTGTGGCCTTCACAGAGTGGTTTTGGTATTTTTTCTAGGAAGTAGAGATCCTGACACCTGGGAGAGCACCCAGGTCCCCACAACTAGTCCCACTCCTGTAGGAGCTATTGTGTCACATGGCTCTGTCCCAGCATAAGGAGCAGCAAGCCTGGAAGGGGATGGTTGTTCAATCAAGTCATACTAATTCCTCAGATTTTTGTATGGAACCTGTTTGGAAGGGGATGGTTGTTCAATCAAGTCATACTAATTCCTCAGATTTTTGTATCCAAAATGCACCTAGTTCCAAGCAGAACAGCTTCAGGCTGGGTGTTCTCAACTCTTTCCCCAGTAGTCCTTCCCCAGAGCTCAGTCAGACCTGCAGGTCTAGGCTGGAGGGATATGAGAGAACTCAGTTCTCTTCCTTGCTCACCTGGAACGTGTTGGTCCTCCACCTTTCAGAGGTACTGGCAGGTAAATTAACGTTGTAGCCTCCCCTCAGAAGCCTTGTTTGGAATATTGAAGGCTGTGGGTGACGCTGGGCAGGAGAGCGCTCTGGGCAGCCAGACCCCGGCTGCTGCTGGAGCTCAGGGGTGCCATGGGGTGCCCACCAGCATCTCCAGCTTTCCCTCCCCAGCTGAAATTGCTGGGCCTGTTTAAAGGTCTGTGTCGGCAGACAGACACGTGGGCATCCTGTTGGCAGGTTCAGTGAGTTGGCATTTATTGTACAGTGTGGTTTAGCCTCTGGTTTTATACAAACGTACAGAATAAAACTAGCTGGGGAGCTCAGATTTGGGGTGGAGCAGCAGCTTTCTGGAGCAGAGGTGGGACTTCCAGCTTTGCTTTGGAAGTGTTTGAATTGATTTGCCGGGTGGACTATTACTAAAAAACACTGCTTCGCTAGGGAGAGCCGGAGATAGCACCGTCAGCCCAGACAGTTCTCTCACAGGATGATGCTCAGTGCTAAAACACAGACCTTGGTTTATAACAACTCATTCAGAAGATTCAGAATAAAAGCAGACTGTTATTGGACTTTGGTCAGGGCAGGAAGGCTCTGGAAAGCTGGGTGAGATTCACCTGGCAATAAAAGACCGCTGGGTAGGTCACTGAAGGTGAAGACTTGTTGGACATCCTCAGCTTCTCTCAGTCCACATGTCTCAGCTGAACTGAGCAGAGCTTGGACAACCCGTGGCACTGGGAGCCTGGCCCTCCTTCCAGCCTTGGCACCAGCTGTGGGCCCGGTGCCAGGGGGGAGCCTCGTTGGAGTGAATTGAAAAGCGTGTTTCTGGTGCGTGTGTGGGCTCTGAGAGGTGTCTCAGTGCTGGAGCTCCTGTGTGAGCAGAACTGACCCTGCTGCTTTTCTCCCCTTTTCCAACAGAGGAGATGGCCACGTACCTCCGTTATGTCCGGCGCCTGGACTTCTTTGAGAGACCAGACTACGATTATTTACGAACCATCTTCACGGAGCTGTTTGAGAAGAAAGGCTACACCTTTGACTACGCCTATGACTGGGTCGGCAGGCCCATTGTGAGTTGTCCCTGCACAATGCAGTGCTTTGCCTTCTGGGGGCTGCTTCCCCACCACCTGCCTCTTTATTCCTGATAAACCCAATTAATGCCGGTGTGCTCGGGGTCAAATAATTAATTTCTGCTCTCTAGCTAACATGGGCTCAACGTAGTGAGATGTCCTGTCACTGCATTCGGGGGGTTCTTGCAGTGCCTTGAGGTTTCCCTAAGGGGCAGAATGCCCCTTCCCACCTCTTTGGGTTTGCCCCAGTGGGGCAGTGAAACCTGATTTTCCCCCTTGGGGCAGTGGATATGACTAGACTTCATTTCTTCTAGCTTAGCACAGGATTTGACACCAACATCTAAAGACATTCAGCTTAAAGCAGGAGAACATAATTGCTGTCTTAGTACTGAGTGGTGGAAGACCTCTATAATGGTCAAGTTGTCATGGAGAAGTACAGGAGATGTAGGCAGGGCTCTGATAGATGCTCAGTGGATGGTAACAGCAAACCAGTTCTGAGCTCAAAAGATGTTGGGGCTTACCCTGCTCCAGTGGCCGAACCAGCTCTTTATAGCACATGACAAGGAAATGTGGGAGTAAGGAAGCTCCACTGAGCAGTTCCATGACACCAGATGGACCATAACCATTACCTCATTGTGTCATTTCTATTGTCAGAAGCCATTTACACTCAAGAAGACCTTGGCCAAAAGATGTGTCATGGGGAAATCTGATAGAAAAGTCTAAAGCTCTTCCGCTGTCTGTCTGTCGGGTCCGTGTCTGTGGAGCAGCCTGTCCACAGGGAGAGCGAGGAGGGAGCCCCGAGCTGGAGCGGGACTGGGACAGGGAGGCTGTTTGTGAAGTTCCAGTCCCAGCACACGGTCCCCCAGCTGCGTCTGAGACACGTGTTTGTAACGGGAGCGGTTTGATGGTTTCAGACGTGCAGATGGACTTCAGCTTGAAAAAACGGTTTTCTGGCAGAAGGGTTGAGCTTGGCTTCCCTCCAGAGACGCTGGACACTCAGTGCTTAGAAGTTTATGAAATGCCGTGGACAATGGAGGGCTGCGAGCGAGCGGGCTCCGGCAGCTGCTGCACCAGCCCTCAGCTGGGTGAACTGCAGCGAGGGACCTGCTGGCACTCACTGCAGCTCCTCTCCTCCATCCATTTCCTGATGGGGAAGCTGCTGTGTTCAGCTTTGGGCTTGCAGTGAGTGAAGGGATCTGATTTGATCGGGTTAGGAGAAGGTTGATGAATGAAGACAAGGAGTGCTGGTGGTGCTGCTGGGAAAAGGAGTTCAGGGGCTCGCGAGCAGAGCGCTGCCACGGGCAGGGGCAGGGGCTGGAGGGAGAGACCTCCCTAAGCTGCTTTGTCACCCTTTATCCAGAGTTAGTCTCAGCTTGGCCTTATCAGACGTATGCCAGAAATGTTGGCGACAGCTCCTAAAAGCAAAGAAAGGGTTTTTCAAGCATGAAAGTGATTCTGAAAGAAATCAGCATCTCTCCAGCTTTAAGTTCACACCTCTGTAAGCGTGTGTTATTCCACTAGGTGTTTTGTTTCTGGCTTATTTGTACTCATCTGCTTTAAATTAATCCTGTAAGTTGTTCAAAAGCAATTCCAGGTTTAGACAAGTCTCTACAAAATTTCCTCAGTTCAGTGCTGGGCTTGAGAAAAATTGGTTGGCTGCTTCTTGAAATCCTGTATTTTTTCAGCTCCAGAACAAACACAGACTCTTCAGCTTCATCTAGAACTTGGCATCTTCACTCTGCTGTGTTTCCTCAGCATACACTTTTGGTCTCTGTTGTCTTGAGAGAACATCTTACTGTGCTAATTATGCTGCTGGCAGGTCTAATTGGCATATTTTGAGAAGGAGGTAATAAAACCCCTTGTTAGGGTGCCGACTGGAGCAGAGTTCTCTACTTCAAGAGGTATTTAGGTGGGAAATGTAACTGAGAATCGTTTCATTTCTTTTGATGACCAGCTGTTTAATCAGTGCTGCCTGAGTGACAGACACTTTGGGGGTGAAAGGAGAGGGAGTGTGGGATTTGGGAGGAGTGTGACTGATGTAAACTCCTTATCTGTGTGCTGGCATTCTGTCACACACTGTAAAAACCCGACGTGCCCAAATTGCCGTTGCGATTTATCTGCTTTTACAGTTGTTTATGAAGGTGTTGGGGTTGCCAGTGGCTCTAAGCCGAGGACTGACGTGCAGTCAGAGTTTATGCAGCTTTATTTTCTTGCCCATGAAAGCTCCCCTGCACGGTCCTCAGGACTGGTAAGCAATTAGCCTCAGACACTAACACGTGCCCTTCCTTACGAAGGTGAAGATGTTTTGATGTCCTTGGGTATTATTTGCCAATAGCACGTAAAATGTGTAGGGAGAATCCCAACGGGGTGAGACAGGATTCCCACAAGTGTAGTCTAGGATGCAGTTCAGTCACAAGCAACGTCTTCTGATACCACCCAGAATCGGTGTTAAATACCTTGTTTTTCTTCCCATACAGCGTGTCGTTTATCACATGGTTGAACTCTCTCTCCCCAACTGTTTTGTCTTTGTGTGCTACAGGCTGACACCTTAAAAGAGAGGTATCAGAAGATCGGGGACACAAAGAGAAACACTCCAGTTGAAGTTCTCTGTGAGAACTTTCCAGGTAAAGCCCCGCTGGGACTGTTTGAGTGCAGTTGGACATACCTTGTTAAATATGGTGGTTCTGAGCTCCTCCGGCAGAAAGTGTTTGGATGATGTTTATCCAGTATGTTGTTCCTCAAGTTGGGAGACAACTGGAGCTGCTGCTATAGACTAGTGGGGCCTGAGAGCTTGTGGCTGTGGGTTAAAATGACCATAACTCTTCTCATTGAGGAGGCTGCACAGTGCTCAAATGCCTCATGTTCCTGCTTTACTTCTTGCCTTCCTTCCAAAAGAGAACCTTGTTATTTCCTTCTTTTCCCTCTCCCAAGTGACCATGTTGGATCTACCGAGTTAATTCTTTTACGAATGGAAGGTTTTACAGGTGTTAAGATTTTAGGTGGCAGGCTTAGAAGATGACGTGTCTGTCATTGAAGTCCACCTTCTGACAACTGTTCTAAGGAAAGTGTTATTCAAGGTGTGCTTCTAGCTAAGCCCAACACCTATTCTCCAGTTAAACAAAAGTCTACCTTGGAGCTAGGAGAGCAGAGTATGAACTTAAAGCCCTCCCCAGATATTCTGTGGCCTTCACAGAGTGGTTTTGGTATTTTTTCTAGGAAGTAGAGATCCTGACACCAGGGAGAGCACCCAGGTCCCCACAACTAGTCCCACTCCTGTAGGAGCTATTGTGTCACATGGCTCTGTCCCAGCATAAGGAGCAGCAAGCCTGGAAGGGGATGGTTGTTCAATCAAGTCATACTAATTCCTCAGATTTTTGTATCCAAAATGCACCTAGTTCCAAGCAGAACAGCTTCAGGCTGGGTGTTCTCAACTCTTTCCCCAGTAGTCCTTCCCCAGAGCTCAGTCAGACCTGCAGGTCTAGGCTGGAGGGATATGAGAGAACTCAGTTCTCTTCCTTGCTCACCTGGAACGTGTTGGTCCTCCACCTTTCAGAGGTACTGGCAGGTAAATTAACGTTGTAGCCTCCCCTCAGAAGCCTTGTTTGGAATATTGAAGGCTGTGGGTGACGCTGGGCAGGAGAGCGCTCTGGGCAGCCAGACCCCGGCTGCTGCTGGAGCTCAGGGGTGCCATGGGGTGCCCACCAGCATCTCCAGCTTTCCCTCCCCAGCTGAAATTGCTGGGCCTGTTTAAAGGTCTGTGTCGGCAGACAGACACGTGGGCATCCTGTTGGCAGGTTCAGTGAGTTGGCATTTATTGTACAGTGTGGTTTAGCCTCTGGTTTTATACAAACGTACAGAATAAAACTAGCTGGGGAGCTCAGATTTGGGGTGGAGCAGCAGCTTTCTGGAGCAGAGGTGGGACTTCCAGCTTTGCTTTGGAAGTGTTTGAATTGATTTGCCGGGTGGACTATTACTAAAAAACACTGCTTCGCTAGGGAGAGCCGGAGATAGCACCGTCAGCCCAGACAGTTCTCTCACAGGATGATGCTCAGTGCTAAAACACAGACCTTGGTTTATAACAACTCATTCAGAAGATTCAGAATAAAAGCAGACTGTTATTGGACTTTGGTCAGGGCAAGAAGGCTCTGGAAAGCTGGGTGAGATTCACCTGGCAATAAAAGACCGCTGGGTAGGTCACTGAAGGTGAAGACTTGTTGGACATCCTCAGCTTCTCTCAGTCCACATGTCTCAGCTGAACTGAGCAGAGCTTGGACAACCCGTGGCACTGGGAGCCTGGCCCTCCTTCCAGCCTTGGCACCAGCTGTGAGCCCAGTGCCAGGGGGGAGCCTCGTTGGAGTTAATTGAAAAGCGTATTTCTGGTGCGTGTGTGGGCTCTGAGAGGTGTCTCAGTGCTGGAGCTCCCGTATGAGCAGAACTGACCCTGCTGCTTTTCTCCCCTTTTCCAACAGAGGAGATGGCCACGTACCTCCGTTATGTCCGGCGCCTGGACTTCTTTGAGAGACCAGACTACGATTATTTACGAACCATCTTCACGGAGCTGTTTGAGAAGAAAGGCTACACCTTTGACTACGCCTATGACTGGGTCGGCAGGCCCATTGTGAGTTGTCCCTGCACAATGCAGTGCTTTGCCTTCTGGGGGCTGCTTCCCCACCACCTGCCTCTTTATTCCTGATAAACCCAATTAATGCCGGTGTGCTCGGGGTCAAATAATTAATTTCTGCTCTCTAGCTAACATGGGCTCAACGTAGTGAGATGTCCTGTCACTGCATTCGGGGGGTTCTTGCAGTGCCTTGAGGTTTCCCTAAGGGGCAGAATGCCCCTTCCCACCTCTTTGGGTTTGCCCCAGTGGGGCAGTGAAACCTGATTTTCCCCCTTGGGGCAGTGGATATGACTAGACTTCATTTCTTCTAGCTTAGCACAGGATTTGACACCAACATCTAAAGACATTCAGCTTAAAGCAGGAGAACATAATTGCTGTCTTAGTACTGAGTGGTGGAAGACCTCTATAATGGTCAAGTTGTCATGGAGAAGTACAGGAGATGTAGGCAGGGCTCTGATAGATGCTCAGTGGATGGTAACAGCAAACCAGTTCTGAGCTCAAAAGATGTTGGGGCTTACCCTGCTCCAGTGGCCGAACCAGCTCTTTATAGCACATGACAAGGAAATGTGGGAGTAAGGAAGCTCCACTGAGCAGTTCCATGACACCAGATGGACCATAACCATTACCTCATTGTGTCATTTCTATTGTCAGAAGCCATTTACACTCAAGAAGACCTTGGCCAAAAGATGTGTCATGGGGAAATCTGATAGAAAAGTCTAAAGCTCTTCCGCTGTCTGTCTGTCGGGTCCGTGTCTGTGGAGCAGCCTGTCTCATGGGCTCTGTGTCCTTCTGCTGGTGGCCTGCTTGCTAACGGCCACTCACCAGCACTGGCAAAGCCATCTCTAAACGAACTCTCACCGGTGCCAGATCAGATGCCTTCAGTGCTAAACTTGGTACCGTTGCCGGTGATTTACCGTCCCAGCTATATTTAGCATTACCAGTGGTACTGTGCCCAAAACAGTTCAGCTTCAGGAGAAATCACTCCCTTTGTGAATCATGACTTTTCTCCTCATTTTTGTTTAATTACAAAGGCAATTGATAAAAAGCCCCTTGTAAGACAAGTGTGCTATTGCTGACAACTGCATTGGTTGCTATGGAGATTTTGATGTTGTGAGCAGGGATTATGACTTTGGTGAGAAGAGAGCAGATGAAGCTTTAATTTTAACACGTCCTGTTTCTATGCAAGCGTGATTTCTGCAAGCGGCAGGACGATGAGATGAGGAAAACAAGTCTGTGTATTTTCAGTTGTAATAGCCTTATGTGAGACACATTCGGTGTGATCTGACACCCTGACAGATACCTAACTCTAACTTTTTAATTATTTTTTATACAAGATGTTTGGTGCTGGTGTCCAGCATCAAATCACAGGGATTTTATAGCCCTGGCTGTAATTTTCCGTGGTTACTGGCAGTACCTTTGGGCGGTGTGTTGATGTTTTCCTGCTTCTGCCTGCCAGGAGCCAGCCTGACACGTTAGGTTTGTGCCTGTGTTGAGAGAGAGCGGCATTTTCACCACTGGCTCCCTCCTAATGAGCACCTTGTTTTCCAGCCTACTCCGGTGGGATCTGTCCACGTGGATTCCGGGACGTCGGCGGTCACAAGGGACAGCCACGTCCACCGGGACCGACCCTCGCAGCAGGCCCTTCGCAATCAGGTGGGTTTGGCTCCTCTCCCAATTCCTCTGGGTCTGGAGAAGCAGAAAGGCTGCGCCCTCAGAGGTGGCCGGGGCTGATTCCTGCCTTGGTCATGGCAAGCACCATTTCTGCATCATCTAGAGACTGGGATTTGCACAGAATTTTGACAAAGGGACACGTTCCTGAAATACTCTTGGTCAGTGGAATTCCTTGGGGTGGTGACCCAGGGGTCAGAGTATCTGACCTACCCTGGTCAACGGGCTTCTTTTGGGTGCTTTTACTCGTAGCACATGGACTGTGGAGTGGACCAGCAGTTGTGGCAATGGCAGGCCACCCCCAGGTGCCCTCTTCCCATGATGGACCTGCAGCCGCCACAGGGATGTGCACATCCCATGGGCACGCAATATCTCCCTCTCAGGGTGCCCAGGTCGTGGCAGGGGGGTTGCAGAGTGTGAAGGACCACCAGGGCAGGGGCGGACGTCATGCTCCGGATGAACTGGAAGTTTCTGAATTTCCTGATTTTTTCTTTTCTGGTTGTAATCTTTTGTTGGAGTTGAGGGTTTGGATTTTCTGTATGAATAGAACTGATGAGAAGTTCAGTAGATCTCCACCTGCTGGCTCCTGGCTAGAGCTGCTGGTGCTCCTCCTCACCAGTGAGTGCTCCGGGGCTCGCTCTGCTCCTCTAACACCCTGTGCCCTTGTAGCTCCTGGTCTGCAGCTCTGCCCCTGGGGCTCCTGGGTGCAGAACCGAGGGTGAGATGTAACAACCTGTCTGGGCTCAGCTTTCCTTCTTCCACACAACTGGGCTCTGAAGGGAGGAGCCACCAATGTAGAGTAGAATCCATCCAAAGCCACCAGCTGCAATCAGGATGAAACCCCCTCGTTAGAGCGTTGCTTGTGGGGAGCTGGGTGGTTGTGCTGTGCTGTATTTATGCATGCTGATTAGTGTGGGCTGGTTTCTCAGTACTACTGAAACAGTCTGCTTTAATATATTGCCTGATTAATGCATGAACCCCCCTTTTTGGGGTGGCAGTCTCTAGTTGTCCACTCTGACAACAGACCTTCGCGCTGTGTGCGTGTGGGGCATCTTGTTTCCTTTAATGGACAATGGCACCTGGCTTCGTTTTCGAGCATGTTAATTCACAAATTATAGCACAAAGCCCAAAGAAATCTGTCCTATTCCCAAAATACTGTGCAGGTGGCCTTCAGTCCTTGTTGTTCTGAGCCTCTCAGGTGGTCCTGATGCTCTCTTGCATGGCAGCTTTTGTCTTTTTTTTTTTTTTTTACCTAACCGTTACTTAGGATGCTGAATTATTTAATATTCCCCATATGCAGGGAAAATCAGTTTCTGCTCACCAAAACGTAAACAGATCTCTACCAAGGGGTTTTCCTGTTAAGTGTTGAGCAAACCATTTCTCTAAAGGAAAAACTAGAGGAAATAAAGGTCTAGAGCAGTGAATTGGAGGCACGGGTTTGGGTCAAGTGACTGCCTTGATCTCCAGATTTAATTGCCTTATCTTTGTTTCCTGGGTATAATAACTGTAGGTTCTCTTTTATATATATTTCGTTCCTGGTAAGGACGCTGATGAGAGTGATCTCCTTTTTGCAGCCTTTTCCTCTCGAAGTGAAGATACTTCTTCCCCTCTCCCTTCCCTTGCAATGTGGCAGCTGGTGGGAAGGTGATGAGTCTTAATGGGAACTTGCTGCTCTCAGATTTCTCAGGCGTCACTTCCTCGGTGTCACCTCTTGGGTTGCATTTTGGGTGGCTCAGCTCAACCCTACTTCAAAAGTAGTTTATCACATACCTGGCTGTGGAGCTAAAAGAGAAAAATCTGGCTCTTGTGGCTACTAGAGCCTTTCCTACAAACTGCTTCCAGGCTCCTGGGCAGAAGAGTGTTTCCCCTGGTACTGCTCCATCACCTGGGCTGGCCAAGCCACCTGATGGCATAGCGCTTTGGAGGAAGCACACTCAAGATCTGGCTTCTGCTAGCTTTTAAAACCTAGGTTTAAATTCTCCGGTTGTTGATAACTTGTGACTTGCAGCCGTTAAAAAAGTATTCCAAGGGAAGCACCTCTCCCTAGAATGTCACCAACTGCAGAGAGCGTGAGCAGCGTCTCAGGCTGACGGGAAGAACATGTAATAAGAAGATTTACTGGGACGAGCCTGGAGAAGAGCACCTCCAGGGAAACACTGGCTGTGAGCTGGATTTGGGGGCTGCTTGGGAGGAGGGGCAGCACCGTGGGTCACTCCAGAGGGGAGTCAGAGGTCCCGTGCAAAGGGAACGATAGCGAATGTTTTAGGAAATGCCAGGAGTCCTTTTTTTATTCTCCTGCTTTTTGCACGTGCTCCTGCTGTAGTTGAGGGACAATTTACTAGTTAGTGTTGAAGTTTATTCAAAAGTTTCTGAGTCTTTCTCCTGCGTGGAACTGCTTGCGGTCTTTTTCTTTTCTTTTTTTCGTTTTTTACAGTGACACTGGGCCCAGTGGCTGCTCTCTTGCTGAGACCAGGGCTCGGGCTCATCATGGGTGGCTGCAGGGAGTGACACAAAGTAGTGCTGGGGAAGGGCCGGGCCCGGGCACCGCTCTTTGATTAGCTCCTTCAGCCTCACTGCTGAGAACCTGGTGTTAATTGCCTTGAGGCTCTTGTTTCCTGGCCAGGTCCATGGTGTGTCTGTTCAGCATCCCTCCTGCCAGCTGCATGTGCACGGGGGGGACTCTGCTGCTCTGTCCCCTCTTCTTGAAAATTTGTGCTTTGGCTTTGAAACATTTGCTTAAACTTTTTATATGATGTCCAGGGAGACACCTTTTAAATGTCGGTCGCTTCAGGCTTGACTCCATCCTGAGGCCAGCACAGACCTACCTGTTTGTCCTGCACTTCCCAGCCTTGGGAGGTGTTCCTCCAGCTGGTGGGTTGGGTTCAGGGGCACCGAGGTCCTCCTGAGTCTCAGGTGACTGTGGGATGTGTTGTCATCAGAGCCGGGCGACCTGTAGGGAGCTTCATGTGCAAGTCCAAAGTGGTTCTTCTAATGAAACAAATCAAATGCTAGTAATTTAATTGCCGAAAGTTTGCATCTGTTGGGGATAAAGAAGCAGCTGTTAGCAAAAGTTTCTTATCTACTTTTCTGCAGAACACCAAAAAGCCACCAAGCCTCTCTCCAGTCAAGCAGGTGTGGTGGATGTTTCCTTCTGCACCCTACAGGTGAATCAGTGTGTGGAACTGGCTTTTGGTGAAATAAAACATGGCTTTGTTTTATGTTGCATATTTGAGTTAAAAAAATAAGTATTTTAGGGAGGTTGAGCTTGTGTATCCGATCTTGCTGCCATGCCAAGTGCTCTGGTGTGTGTGACCTGACAGGCACAGTTGAATGTGCTGTCGGCGTGTTTATTTCTGTGCTGAAACCCATGGAAATGAAGCTGTGGAAAGAAATAACTTCCTGGACAGACGTGAGCTTTCTCTCCGTTCAGCAGCTGGAGGAGAAGAAATCCATTCCCACAGTGGATTGCTACAGACACCGCTGCAGCAAAGCGTGAGGTGCTCTTGGTGAAGAGACATTTTAGCCCAGCTAAAAGTTTAAATGCCTTGCTTTTTGCAAAGAAACTAACTCACTAACAAACAGCCTTTTATTTCCTCCCCTCATTCACCTTTTGCCCTCTCTTCTGTTTCTCTCGTGCTTCTCAACCCCTGAGCAGGCGTCGTCGGATCGCCGAGGGGACTGGGAGATCCAGCCGAGCCGGCAGACGAATACCTCGTACCTGACATCTCACCTGGCTGCCGACCGGCACGGGGGATCCGTACAGGTACCTCCTCCTCCTGAGGCCTACAGCCTTGATGCAAGAACCGGTGTTAAATCCCCTGAATTCTCCCCAGATTGCAGTAACATCACGGTGGGGAGAGCGATTTCACAGGCTGGTTTGGTCCTGTCCTGTCCGTAACGCTCACGTCCCAGTTTTGTGGGACCCGAGCTGTGAAGGCCAACGTTGTGGCTGTGACTGCATCAATGAAGCTTTTCCTGAGAACTATTTTCATAGAATCATAGAATCATAGAATGGTTTGGGTTGGAAGGGACGTCAAAGATCATCGAGTTCCAACCCCCCTGCCCTGGGCAGGGACACCTCCCACCAGAGCAGGTTGCTCCAAGCCCCATCCAGCCTGGCCTTGAACCCCTCCAGGGATGGGGCAGCCACAGCTTCCCTGGGCAACCTGTTCCAGTGTCTCACCACCATCATAGTAAAAAATTTCTTCCTGAGATCTAATGTGAATCTTTTTTCTTCCAATTTAAAACCGTTTCCCCTTGTCCTATCATTACCCTTCCTGGCAAAGAGTCCCTCCCCAGCTCTTCTATAGGCTCCCTTCAGGTATTGAAAGGCCGCTATAAGGTCTCCCCGGAGCCTTCTCTTCTCCAGGCTGAACAACCCCAGCTCCCTCAGCCTGTCTCCATAGGAGAGGTGCTCCATCCCTCTGATCATCTTCGTGGCCTCCGCTGGACCTGTTCCAGCCGGTCCATGTCCTTCCTGTGCTGAGGACTCCAGAGCTGGACACAGAGCTCCAGGTGGGGTCTCACGAGTGCAGAGTAGAGGGGCAGAATCACCTCCCAAGACCTGCTGGCCACACTTCTCCTCATGCAGCCCAGGACAGGGTTGGCTCTCTGGGCTGCCAGCACGCACTGCCGGCTCATGTTGAGCTTCTCGTCCATAAGCACTCCCAAGTCCTTCTCAAGTATTTTGAACTCAGATTTGTCAAACTGAACACAGGAAGGAGTGTAAATTAGCAGACGTGGACTATAAAGCACCCCTCTGTCCCCACCTTGGGGTAGGAAGAGGCAGCTGAAATAAGGTCTGTTGCATGTCAACCCTAGAAACCTTAGGAAAGAGTTGAGCTGTTCCAGTTCAAGCTTGATAGGGGGGATTCTGGTCAAATTCCTGCTGCTTCATGGAAATCTGGGGGTGTCAGGCCAGAGGGGTGCACAGGGGATGGGTGGTGTGAGCAGGCGGTACAGCCGCTGCTCTGGGACGGAGGTGCCTCCGGTTGTCACTCGGGCTTCCTAAGGGAGCTCCTGCCACAGCGAGGGGCTGCACGTGCTGGAGAGAAGATGGAAGAGTCACTCAAGCAAACAAGTGGCCGATACTGCTGGGGAGGTGAACTCTCGGGCAAAGGTTGCCTGCGAGAGAGGGCAATAATGTCAGATTTTGGCAATCGTCTCTGGAGACACGGGGATTAGTGCCTGGAGTGGGGCAGAGCTGAGCTGAGAGGGGAAGCGGGGGGTGCCCCTGGGTGAAATGCAGATTAGGTTGGAATTTTTACTTACTCCTGACACTGGGTTGGATACAATGATTTTTTGGCTTGATTAGCCACGTTCCTCTTTCCATTTAAAGATATTTTACTGAATAGCAGAGAAACTGAAAGATAAGGAGGAACTAGTATCTGTTTAGTTCTGATCTCAGACGCGAGCAGACAGTAAACTGGAGACATGCTCAAGGCCAGGTTGGACAGGGCTTTGAGCACCCTGATCGAGTGAAAGATGTCCCTGCCCACGGCAGAGGGTTGGACTTAGATGATCTATAAAGGTCCTGTCCAACCCAAACCATTCTATGAATTCATCTCTCAGTAAGTACAGAGTAGGTGCTTTTATTCTTTTTTTTTTTTTTTAAGCAAGGGGAATAGTTCCCCCCAGCAAGTTTGCTGATGATACCAAACTGGGAGGGCTGGCTGACACCCCGGAGGGCTGTGCTGCCATCCAGCGAGACTTGGACAGGCTGGAGAGCTGGGCAAGGAAGAACCTCAACAGGGAAAAGTGTAGGGTCCTGCACCTGGGGAAGAAAAATGTCAGGCACCAGTACAGGGTAGGGGTGGACCTGCTGGAGACAACTTCTGAAGAGAAAGATCTGGGAGTCCTGGCAGACAGCAAAATGACAATGAGCAAGGAGTGTGCTCTTGTGGCCAAGAGGCCAATGGGATCCTGGGCTGCGTAGGGAAGAGTGTGGCCAGGAGGTGGAGGGAGGCCATTCTCCCCCTCTGCTCTGCACTGGGGAGGCCACAACTGGAATCCTGCCTCCAGTTCTGGGCTCCCCAGTTCAAGAGAGACAGGGAACTGCTGGAGAGAGTCCAGCGAAGCGCAACAAAGATGATTCAAGGACTGGAGCATCTCCCTGATGAAGAAAGACTGAGAGAGCTGGGACTCTTTAGTCTGGAGAAGAGAAGGCTGAGGGGAGACCTTATTAATGCTTCTAAGTATCTCAAGGGAGGGTTGAAGGAGGATGGAGCCAGACTCTTTTCCGTGGTTCCCAGTGAGAGGACGAGGGGCAACGGGCACAAGTTGGAACATAAGAGGTTCCACTCAAATATGAGAAAAAACTTCTTCACAGTGAGGGTGGCAGAGCCCTGGAACAGGCTGCCCAGGGAGGGTGTGGAGTCCCCTTCCTTGGAGATCTTCAAGCCCCACCTGGATGCTCCTGAGTAACATGCTCTGACAAGCTCTAGGCAATCCTGCTTCAGCAGGGGAGTTGGACTAGATGATCTCTATGGTCCCTTCCAACTTTAAAAATTCAGTGAAATTCAGTGAAATTCCCTTGTGCAGAGCCAGCACGAGCTGTGTCTCCCCACGAAGAGCGCTCCCGCAGAGCACTCCTGGTCTGGATTTGCCTGGGAGGTTGCCTACCTGAGCAGTTTACAAGCCTATATGTGCCACCATAAGCATTGAAATTCTGCTTACCTGCAGCAAAAAAAGAGGAAATCTTGTGTTGTGTGTGGCTGCTGGGCTGCAGCTCCTTAAATTGTCTCTCAGCAGATGCCCCAGTTCATGCTTGGGAGGTCAGAAGCTTCAAGTGGCCCTTTCCTTTAAGGCAAGGGTTGAATTTGCTGCATGAAAATGAAGTGGCAGCAAGTAAAAAAAGAGGCGGAAATTCAAAGCCTTTTGTAAAATGAAATTTAACGAGTAGCTGGAGAAAGTGTGGGAAGATCACTGGGAATAGCACGATTAAGTGCTAGCGTTTTGCAGAGTTGTGTGGGAAGTCTGAGGGTCTGGAGAACCTGAGTGGGCCCACAGGGTGATGAGTCTGGGAAGGTGGGTGTGAAGAGAACCTGAGGGGTTGTCAGTCAAGGAGAGCCCTGAAAACCACATGAGCAGAGTCCTGACCTGTCTTGGCAGAGACCAGCCATGGGGCTTGATCTGCAGGAACAGCAAACGTGGATAGATGCATTTAATGATGAGGGGACATCTGCTTCAATGGCTTCCTTCCCTTCACCTCTGGTGATTAGCTCAGCCAGAGCCACCAGGAATACTGGGCAGCACCCTGACCCCCGCCAAGGGAGATGCCTCCTTTTACCTTGCAGCGAGGCAAAGAGGTAGAGCAGGAGGGGAGCCGTGTGTGGGTACAGCTCTGGAGCCAGGAGCAGCTCCAGGAGCTCACAGGAGCCTGTCCTGCCTTCCAGACGGAGCACGGAGGGGCCGGACTCCGGCTGCTTTGGTGGTTCTTGAGGCAATAGAGCAACGATGAATTATCCAGGCAATTACTGCTCTCCTGGCAAATGCCAAGCAGCTGGGGATCTGGGTGGTCATCCTTATAACGGAGATGCTCAAGTGAGCCATAACGTCAGCTTTGAAGCAAAAAGAGATGAGAGCTTTTGGGTGCCGCTCCAGAAGGTGGCTGTGTGAGGTGTGAGATTCTGGGGGCTCTGGAGTGACTTCTTCCCACGGCAGCGGCAGGCTCTGAGTCACTCCCCTGGAAAAGTGTCAGGAGAAAACAATCAACAAAATTCGGTTTGTGTGTGTTTGTAGGGCTGTCAGTTAATCTTCACACTCGAGGCTACACCTCCCAGAGTGACACATCCTCCTAAGGACACAGGGGTTGTGCTGGGCACAGGAGTGTGAATTAGTGAACGCAGGAGCAGTCCCCTGCCTGCTGTTCTCCTGGGGATGAGCCAGCTGGTTTCTCCAAACAGGGCACATGATTCAAAGGCATCCAGGGAATCTGCCAGCCTGCTGAGGTGCCGCAAAGAGACAGGAGCAAACCAAAGTTATTCCGCAGATTTCCCATTCCCAGGGCATCCCTTGTCCGGGAGGGTGGAACCACATCATATGCAAGGGGGCAGTCATTAACGGGGCGATCATTAACGGGGCAATCATTAACGGGGTGTTCCTTTGTGTTCCAGGTGGTCAGCTCGACCAACGGGGAGCTGAACGTGGATGACCCGACGGGGGCACACTCCAACGCGCCGATAACAGCGCAGGCGGAGGTGGAGGTGGTGGAGGAAGCGAAGTACGTTTTCTTTACAAACAGGCTTTCCACTGGTGTGGTCATTAACCCTCCTCCTCCTCCCGGGAAACGAGTGGGGATGTTTACCCGTGGTGAAGTACTCCATGCTCGTGTCCCATGCCCTTTTCCTTGCATATTGCTGCTTTTGTGCATGGTGCCTTCAGTGCTGCTGCTGCTGCTGCTGCTTCTTTTTTACACTTGTCGTGGCTGGAGAATGTAACTCTGACTCAGAGCATGTATTGCAAGACAGACAGTAGCACAAGTACCAGAATAATGCGGATTGATTTCAGGAATCCCGGTGAGCGTCCCCTGTTCCAAAAGGAGAACGCGCTGTGCTCTCGTGCTGAGAGAGTAGGAGTAGCTTGAGCACAGCTCAGTCAGGAGATCGTTGCTCTGAAACTTAACACTTTATCTCTGGCTGCAAGAAGTGGATGCCAGGTGTCCAGAACGGTCCTTGCAGGGCCTCTTGCAGGTAGTTCTCTCTGTGAATTCTCTTGGTCCAGCCCAACAGAAGCTGAGGGAGAGAAACCAGAAGCATTCTCCTGCTTGTGGGGAAGAGCGTGCTCCCTCCGAGCTGACCTCTCCTCTGCAAGTTTGTGGTCACGAGTGAGAACTGATGTACAAAGTTGCTGCTTTGACTCTTTTGGCCTCCTTTGCACACGTGCTGCATCTGGTACCATCACGTCACCTTTTGCATGATCCTCAACGTGGGACCTGCTCGCTGCCTCTGGACTAGAGCAGGACCCGAGCAGGTCGCGGTGTAACCCTGACACTGCCCGTGTGAGGGGCAGATGGCCCCTGGGCTGCCTTGGGACCGGTCGATGCTGTGACGTTGCCCAACAGCCTGGTTACAGTTTGACTGGAGGACACTGGTGTCGCTTGTCCCACGTTGTTTGTCTCGGGACCTCTGTTAGGAGTGTTTTGGGGGAGGGTGAAGACAAAAACTGGCAGGCGTGAGAAAGGGAGTGTTAATGGCAAAGGTCAGTCTGAAGCCAGTGCTGGTTGTCCTGAAGGTCTTCTGCTGTCTGTTCCTCTGTCCCTCGGGAAGCAGCTGTGCGTGGTCTGGCTCGCTGGTGGCTGGCCTGGGCGTCATCCTGGCACCCACGTACCCGAGCAACACTTTCTGCTCCCCACCAAAGGAGCGAGCCTTGGGTTTGGTACAGGCTCCTCATCAAGTTTGGTGAGGTGGGGGAGATCTTGAGGCGCAAACTGTGGATTGGGCAACGCTCCTCTTAGATATGGGTAGCGTGGCCTGCAGAGGCCACCAGTTTGGTGTCACAGGCTCTGTCGTGGTCAGACTGAAGTGGGTCCCTGCCTGGGCACGTGGCTTGGAGTCGCTCCTAGGAGGGACGGGGCCAATTGCTGCCCTTAACAGTCCTCGATACAACGGCCCAAGGCAAGGAAGAGGCAGCTTTTAAGAGGGGAGCACCTTCAGCCTGTTCATGCAGCGCCTTGTTCAGCAAGGACCCGTGTACAGGAGAGGTGTGAGGACAGGTGAAAGGGAGCGTGCAAGGGCCATCCTGCCCAAGCCACGTCTGGTGACACGCGGAACTGTTCTGTCACCCTCCAGCCCTCCTTTGTGTGGCCCCACACGTGTTCTGGAGGTGCTGGGAAGCGGAGCACAGGCTGATTTGCCCTGACAGTGGGGTATCTTGTAATTCCCAAGTTTAGTCTGCTTTGGTTCCTCCTGCCACGGGGAGGGCTGGCTTCTTCTTCCCTTGCATCTGCGATCGTAAATCCCCCCAGACACACGTGGAGGGCAAAGGACTGTTGGATTCTGCTCTGCGGTAAAGTGGGCCAGAAAGAGCTGGAAGGAGCTAGAGGTGGGGCTCTGTGTTTCGAGAGGAGCTGCAGGAAGGTCTGTCCCTGGCACTCCCGGCAGGCAGAGGAGCTGTGCAAATGCTTCTGCTTCAGAGGGCGCGGGAGATGATAAACCTCCTGGTCCTGGCGGTGGGTTTCACTGAAGGGCAGGTCCCTGGTATAGTTCCATGACGTGGCCCTTCTGCCTCTGGAGCTGCAGGGAACGAGAGCAGATTCCTCTCCTGGTGGCCCTGAGCCCCTTTCTGATCCCACACCCAGATAAGAACCTCCCGGGGCCTTTGTGGAAAATAGGGGGTGTCTGTCAGAGGCCTCCAAACCCTGGAGAAGGTGGCGGTTCTCGGCGGCGCCATGGCAAGGGCAGAGGTGGTACGAGGGCTGGGGGCGGGCGGCGGGCAGGCATGGTGTGTGTCTGCCGGTCTGCACTGCATGTTTGCATGGCTGCAGTGACATGCTTTCATCCCACCTCTGTGAACTAATTGCTCTTTCTTCCTTTCTGTGTTTTTTCTCTACACTCTCTGTAGCTGCCTGAAAATGCTCAACTTGTGGTGAGTCCCTCTCTCCAGTCCACATGCAAGGGGGAGCGGACCAGACTAGACTGGGGTTGGCAAAATCAAACCGACCAAACCCTAGAAAGGCACAAAGTCAAAGCCAACCCAGAGCTGTTTTAATTTTAGGACCGTGCTGAGGACCACAGGCAATATTGGGGAGGGTGTGGGTTATGGCTCAGCGGCCGCATTAGGCCGAGCAAATTGGCTGATCTCTGAACTGGTGGATGCAAAAGATGGATTTTAATCCTTTCCTATTTGGCTTACCATCTCCCCCAAAGTGTTACGTCCGTGAGCAGATGATGTCTGATGGAGTTGGGCAGAGTCGGGACCAGCCTTGCCGAGCGTCCTGCAGGAATTCCTCACGCAGACGGTTACAGAGGGAAAATCCACGCTGGGTATCGAGGGGAGGGGGCCGGGCGCTTCCTCGGGGAGTTTCCTCTGAAGAAGCACCTGCCTGTATCATTAGAGAGGATGGAAAGACATGGCCACGGAGTCCTCATTACTGACAGAGACCCTGCTTGGAAAGGGCGGGTGGGAGATGTCTCCTTTCCAAAAACCCTGCGGCTGCCAGACAAAGGTGCAGGTGAACTCCAGGAGACAAGGGGCAGAGGGGTTGGGATGGGCATCGCTCCAGACCCAGCTCAGGCACAGGTACGGTCTTAGCAGGGTCTTAGCCTCAGCTGTAGTGTCCCCGTCTCAAGGTGTCCCTTGGAGGGTGCCCTTCCTCCCCTGCCCCTTGGGGAATCCACGTACCCAGTAAGTGAGGACCAAGTGGAGTCTGGGATGAGGAGTCTGGGATGAGGAATCTGGGATGAGGAATCTGGGATGAGGAGTCTGGGATGAGGAATCTGGGATGAGGAGTTTGTAGGTCCCAGGGAGGGCCGATGGGTGGGAATGGCCATGGAGCGAGGTGACAAAGCCCGTGTGCTGCGAGGAATGTCCTTGTTGGATGGGAGACTGACCGCCTCTGCCCTGCTCTCCATAGGCATCGCCTCCGATACCTCTGGCATCTCTGGCTTCTCTGTATGTCGTAGTCTGGGGCTGTTCTCTTGGGCATTGTCTGCATGCAGAGAGATCACGTTCTGTAATTGTCGGCCTGCCTTATTCTTTTATTTTGGTGTTTTGCCTCTGCCTGTCTGAACTGCCAGGACTTTCCTGAACCCTTCCCCGAGTAACAGCCTAAAAAGACAGTCACAAGGAAAACCAGCCAGAAGTCAGTCAGCTCCCTTTGTTCGGTGCCCAAGGAGACGAGTGCTGCTCAGCCCCTTCTTCCCTTACCCACTGCATGCGAAATCATAACTCCTGCATTTTCCATCCTCTCTCCTCGTAACGTCCTCCCCCCTCACTCACCATTGCCCAAGTCATGAAGGAAGGTGGCTGCTGTGGGAGAGAAATCCTGCGACAGGTTAAAAGAGGAGAGGGTGGCAGGTGGCCCGGGACAGTGAAAGGCAAGAGCAGTGGTGAGGCCGGGGGTGAGAGTGCGGAGGAGCCGGGGCTGGGTGGTGCTTCAGGCTGCATGCTGCCCGGGGGTAGTGATGGAGTCGTCACAGGGCGCTCCAAGCCCGTGTTCCTGCAAGGACAAGTGCTTTGTGCTTTCTCTCAGCTCACCTCCAAACGGGGCCTGCTTAGGAACCTAAAGACAAATCGTGGACGTTGAACTTCCCCTGGCCATTAGTCCACGCAGGCCAGAGGAACGTGTGGTGGGAGGTGGCCCTCCTCTTGCTGTGGCTGTTTGAGCTCTCCATGTTGGTAGGGGGTTTCGGTCTCCCCAGCTCTGCTGGGGGATCTGTGCTGGCAGGCTTGGCTCACGGGGGGGTGGTGCTCACCCATCGCTTTTGCTCCCCTGGTAAGACCCATGCACCTCCTGGGGCGCGAGGGAGAGCGAATCTGCTCCTCCAGCGCCGAGAGGACAGAAGTGTAATGCTGAGATTTCAGAGCCACAAAGGACCCCACGGAAAATAACTCAGAGAAGTTGTTTCAGTGTTTTTGAGTGCTTTTTGTCTGGCTGCTGGTTAAAAGATGCCTGTTAGGAAAAAATGGTCTTTGGTTACCGACATCGGCTCTGGCTGCTCAGCCAGGCAGCCCTTCCACCAGCCTGAGACAGTCGTCTTTGGGCATCACCCGGGCCTCCCCGGGGACGGCTGTAACGGCAGGAGGAGGAGGACTCGTAGCTCAGGTGCAGAACTCGCACAGAACAAACACCTTTCTTCTGTGCAGAGGATTCCTGGCAGTGGGCTGGGGATAGACAGGTAGATATGCCTGAAACACCGAGCGTGTCTGCAGGGAGCCAGCAGGGCTAGAAAAGCCGGGCGGCTGCTTTCAGTGCACCCCACGAGTGAAACCACCGCTCTGCACGGTTCAGCTGCGAGGGGCTTCTCTCTCCCCACCTCAGCCTCCACTCTCCATCCTTCTGGCTTCCCCCGATCCCCGGGCGCTCTGCACCTCCCTCGCATCAGATGGGGGAAGAAGCAGGGGTTCTGCATCGGCACCAAGAGATTTACCCAAGGTGGAAGCTCTGGTTACCGTGAAAGGTTCAGTAAAGAAACCTGGTCCCTGAGCTGAGCTCTCTTTGGAACTTGTCTTTTTAGTGAACGGTGGTGAAAACCGTGTGTCTTGTAGCTGGGAAGAGCTGCCAGGGCTCGGTGTCCCCATCCGCTCCCTCCGGGGTTCGGGCAGAGGGAGCAGAGCTTCTGGATCCTTCTTCTCCCGCTTTCCCAGATTGCTCCTTGTGTTCCTGCCCCAGTCGGGCCTCGGGAGGGAGCCAGCCCGGCTGCCGGCGCGCGGGGGCCGTGCCCTGTGTCACCCACAGCCTTTGGGCAGCGGGTCCCCCCCGTGTCGTGGGCCTCACTCGCCTTTGCTGGGCTACCAGTCCCTGCGGGTGGTGCTGGCCATCTGCCCGCATCCGCCGGCCTTGCCGACCGTCCCACGGGACGGCGGGTCCGTGGGGGCCCCGGGGCGGGCGCGCAGAGGGGCTGTTGCATGCAGCTGAGCGGAGGGGAGCCCGGGGTGGCCGGGGACCTTCCCGGGGGTGCCGGGCGTGGGACTCACTCGCCTTGTCCTTTGTGCCCCAGGTGCTGCTGCTTCTTTAAGAGGAAACGGAAGAAGACGGCTCAGCGCCACAAGTGACCGGTGCCTCCTGGGCCTTGCAGGAACCACCTCGCCTGCAGCTCCTGCCCTGTCTCACTGGAAGGGGCTTCTCTTTAGGGGGGAGGAGGAGGAGGCATAGGAGGAAGAGAGAAAGAAAGAAAGAAAACAAAACAAAACAAAACAAAACAAAAAGTGACATTTTAAACCAAAAAGAGAAGAAAACGTTCCAAAACAAACCACTCTGGGGTGGATCTGCTGAATGGTCTCCCTCGTTCACTCCAAGCCTGAAGCTCCTTTTGGGACCAGGACTGTGGCTGGCTCAGGTCTTGGTCGCCCCGGGAGGGGGGCTGGCTGGCTGACCCTCCTTCCCCTTGTTTACGGCGAAGGCATCCTTCACGCAAACCTGAGGACTGTGCTTAGTTCCTGCTCACTTTCCTCCCCCCCACCTCCCCTGTGCTCTCTGCTCCTCCGTCCTCCTCCCTCCTTAATTAAGCGAAGAGATAACCGTTGGCTGGATTGGCTGTGGAGAGGGCAGGAGGACGCGGTGCGAGCAGGAGAGCTGCCTGGGAGAGGGGCCTGGCTGCTGCAGCAGAACCAGACAGGTTCCCTTTTGGGCTCCTTGGGAACAGTTACACTGTAATGTGCAAGCTGTGAGAAATTTGCAATCTACTGTTCCAGTTAGGGTTTGTTTTTTTTTCCGGCTCCCTTGACACCTCCCTCCTCTGACGGTAACAGAGCAATGTGGATTGTTTTAAAGAAGCTGACGTCGTTGCACTTTTTATTATTTTTAGCATTTACAGATGCACATTGTATCTGTGGATCTCTGCCTGGCCGGGCGGCGCCAGCGCGGACAGACATTCAGCTGGGGAGACGGTGGGGTGCAGGGAATGCCCTCCAGCAGGGATGTCCACGACATCCCACCGCCCTCGTGCCACTCTGGGGTTCCCATCGCCTGCCTTGGGCCACGCGCTGAGGAAAGCATACTTGAATTTCCAATCACCCTTTCTCGCTGCCGGTGAATGTCCCTACCATGGTTTCCTACGCCGTGCCTGACCCAGCCGGCCGGGAGACGCGAGGCTGTGGCCCAGCGTTGGCAGGAGGGAGCGGTGTCAGCTTTGTGGAGCTGGAGGAGTTTGTGCTGGTTGAAGAGGTAGATCTGGATTAAGGTGACGGGGAGGCAGCCGTTTCCCAAAGCCTAGGCGTTTCTCGGTGTGGGCAACTGGGCAGCCTTCTCCAGCCCCCCCGGTGGGGTGGTTGTGAACCTTCTGCCAGAAAGCGTTAGCGGGAGCGAACCTTCCCCGGCAGGGGAGAGGATACTTCACTGCCTTAACACTGATTTCATCTCCAGATGAAGGTCAGATAGGTTTGACTGGAATAGCCTTCACCTCCTCTCTGCGAGCGTGGGCCTGGGGCACGTGGGACGCCCTCGCGCCCCCCAGGAGAAGCCATGGTTCTCACGCACCACTTTTGAGCCAAACCAGTAACTTGCAAAGGGCTTGGGGCGCTTTGCACACGTGTTAAAGGAAAAAAAAAAAAAAAAACCAACAAAAAACTCGCATCCTGCTGGAGCGTTTCCAGACCCGAAGGAGGCTGAGGCTGCCCGGGGGTCACCACGGACGTGGCAGGGCTCTGGGAGAACTCGAGCAGCTTTTGGGGAGGTTGTGAATAGGTTCCTCGTGCTTTGTCTTTCCACGTGTGACACCCGACCAGGCTGGGACTGTTCACTTGAGGGACTTCGCTTGTCATAAACTGGGGCCTGGCTCACCCCACGCTCCCCGTGAAGGGAGGGAAGGGAGAGACTGGATGGCATTGTCTTTTATTCTTTTACTGACGGTCTGCGTAGCTGGGAGTTGGTGGAGCAGCGCTCACGAGGGGCTCGGTTCCCCTGGCTGGGCAGAAGCGGGCCGAGGAGGCAGGAGATCATCCCGGGCAGGGAGCTGGGGGCTCGCTCTTTGTGCGTGCCCGGAGCGGGCGGTGTGGTGCCAGGGTGGAGAGGCCTCCCCTCCTTGCCAGGATCCCTCTTGGCCATCCTCCGCTGCGTTCTCTCCATGCCTTATCCCGACGAGCGCGGCGGGGAGGCGCGGAGCTCTTGGCTCGCACGCCCACCAGGAGACACGTCCACCCCCTTCTCCTCCTGCAAAGCACTTCCCTCCAGCCCTGCTGTGGGACGGGGCAGCAAGGGGACCTTCGCCCTCTTGTCCCCTCCTGCCAGAGGAAGGACGGGGACCGTGGCCACCTTCCACCCTTCTCTTTCCGAGCTCCTCTGCTGCCAGTGGCCCCCAGAAGCCCAGTGTCTCTGGTGCAGGCGTTCCCCTCTCCGCTGCAGGAAGCCGTGGTTTGGTGTCTCGGGAGGGGGTGACGGGGCAGAGGCGCTCCCCGGGGAGCCGTCCTGCCCGCTGCCGGTGGAGCCAGGCCCCGAGACACTGCTGTTGCTGCCCTCCTAAGCCCCACTAAGTGCCTGTCACCAGAACTCGATTCCTTCTGCATCTCCTGCCGTGTTTGGTCATTCCTCGCTGCCTCCGGTCGCGGAGCAGCTTGTAGTTGCAGCATATGTAAGTGTTTGCAGGGTGAGGGAGGGCGGGGGGGGAAAGGGGCCATCTCAACAGTTTCTGTTCTTAATTTTTTTTGTTTGTTTTTTTGTTTTGTTTTATTTTTTTGGATTATTTTTTTTAAAGTGAATGTATTTGATTGTTTAGAAACTTTCCTGACCTTGTTTTTAAGTGGGTTGGTTTGAAAGCTGTTTCATGGTGACCCACTGCCGCTTCTCTCTGGAGATACGATGTTCTTTTAATCCTACGATGATGTGTTTGTAGGGGAGGACTGTCCCCCCACGGCATGCTGGTAATGCTCACTTGTACCAAGCCCTCTTGCACTATAATCGTACGTTGGACTCTTCAAAAGGGCAAAAATGTGGGGTGGGGTTCTTCTTTTAAAAGACAAAAAAAAAAAAAAAAAAAAAAAGGAAAATAAAGCAGGTTAACAGCAAGTCCTGTGCTTGAGGAAACCGCTGTCCCCAGGGAGCTGGGAGGTGACCAGGAGACACAAGCCAGACTGAGCCAGCCATGCTGTGGTAGGAAGCAGGGCATTAAGCCCACCTGGGCAAACTCTCCTCACCAGAAGTCGTTAGCAGCCGGGAGACCCCGGGGGCGCGAGGGGAGGGCTCTCCGGGGGGCACCGGGCGCTGTGCTGGGCTCCCCCATGTAGCTCTCCCGCGGTGTGGCCCACCAACGTTGCGATGCGGTCTTCTGAGGTATCAAGTGAGATGATTATTATTTTTTTTTTCAATAAAACATTGCACTGCTGCATTGTTCTCCATGGATAGACGTGTTTATTACCTCCTCCTGACCACACCGCTCGAATTTCCTTTTCCTTCTGTTGGGCTCTCCTGGTAGCCCTCCTCTCCTCCGAGAAGCTCTGAGCCCCTCTTTGAGGGGTTGGTGCTCAGTGTGGGGACTTACAGCACCTTCTCACTGCTTTGTGCGTTACCAGCCATGGACGGTTCAGCCCCACGGAGCCTGGCCAAGGCGTGGTGGCACCGGTCTCTCTTGTCTCTGTGCTTGCACCTTCCCACTTCAGGCATCCTGAGGAGCAGAATGGGCTAAACCATTGGTTATTTGGAACACAAAGATGTGACCCACCCCAAAAGCTGCTGTCAAGTGGTCCCCATGTCTCTGCAACAGCATCTGGTGCAGGTTATGCACCAGGACAGGTTGGGGCTGACCTGCTGGAGAGCAGCTCTGAAGAGAAAGGCCTGGGAGTCCTGGTGGACAACAAGTTGCCTGTGCGCCAGCAATGTGTCCTTGTGACCAATGGTCTCCTGAGGTGCATTAAAAAGAGCGTGGCCAGCAGGTGGAGGGAGGTCATCCTCCCCCTCTGCTCTGCCCTGGGGAGGCCCCATCTGGAGCACTGGGACCAGTTCTGGGCTCCCCAGTTCCAGAAGGACAGGGAACTGCTGGAGAGAGTCCAGTGGAGGCTATGGAGATGATGAGGGACTGGAGCATCTCTCTGCTGAGGAAGGGCTGAGACCTGGGGCTGCCCAGAGAGGGTATGGAGTCTCCTTCCCTGAAGACATTCAAACCCAGCTGGACACATTCCTGTCCAGCCTGCTCTGGGTGACCCTGCTCTGGCAGGGGGTTGGAGGAGATGATGGTCTCCAGAGGTCCCTTCCAACCCCCACCATTCTGGGATTCTGTGATCTGCTGCTGTAGGCATCAGGTGTGACTTCCCCAGGTGGAAGGGCACAGCGAGAGACTTCAGCTCCAGCCGAACCCCTCGGCACACGCCGTGCTGGCGGCCGTGCCAGTGACCCAGGCCCAACCATTGCTGCCTCGAGTGCCACCTCCCCGTGCCCCTGTCCACTCACTGGGCTCTCGCGTAGAGAGGAGCGACACTGCGCCGCTGCCACGGAGTCAACCACCAGGATCACGATGTTTTCCAGCGTGCAAATAGCTGCTGCTTATTTATTCTCAGTACAAAGAAAGGCATTAAAGATATGAGCCAAACCTGTCATCTTGTAAAAGCAGCTTTCATTCTATCTAGACAGGGAAAGCACCTGCAGCGACTCCCGCTCTTAGAAACTGGTTCACACCAGGATCTTTGTCAGGACACTTTCTGCTTCCGTTTCCCAGCCTTAAATGTAATGTTTTTAGCATGAGCTTTCATTTCCTGTTTCCAAAAATTAGTCTCGGGACGCTCACGCTCTGAGAAGGCAAACCTCAACCTTTCTTTCCCTGGCCCTTGGAAACAAGCACCTCCAGCAGGCAGTTCCTCCCAAGGTGCCTGTGCCAGGCACTAACACTGACCTGGATCTATTTGAGCAGACATGTAAAAAAAATATGCGATTCCCACGTGTTCAACCAACTCTGGTGTTTGTGAACCACTGCGCTAAGCCAGACACACTCTGTCCACTTCTGGGCCCCTCACGACAGGAAGGACATGGAGCTGCTGGAGCGTGTCCAGAGGAGAGCCACCAAGCTGGGGAGGGGTCTGGAGAACAAGTCCTACGAGGAGAGGCTGAGGGAACTGGGCATGTTGAGTTTGGAGAAAAGGGGGCTGAGGGGAGACCTCATTGCCCTCTGCAGCTCCCTGAAAGGAGGGTGTAGAGAGGTGGGGGTTGGCCTCTTCTCCCAAGGGAATAACGACAGGAGCAGGGGAAATGGTCTGAAGTTGGGGCAGGGGAGGTTTAGATTAGATCTTGGGAAGAATGACTTTCCTGAGAGGGAGGTCAGGCCCTGGAACAGCCTGCCCAGGGAGGTGGTGGAGTCACCATCCGTTGGGGGGATTTAAGAAACGTGTAGACCTGGCACTTCAGGGTACACTCTAGTGCCCGGGGTTGTCGGTTTGTGTCTGTGGCTTGTTTGTGTGGGTTTCTTTTTCTCTTTTTTTTTTTTTTTTTTTTTTTTTTGAAAAAAAAAAAAAAAAAAAAAAAAAAAAAAAAAAAAAAAAAAAAAAAAGTTCTTTTTTTTTTTTTTTTTTTTTTTTTTTTTTTTTTTTGTGGTTGGACTCGATGATCTCTTAGGTCCCTTTCAACCATGAAGATTCTGTGAGAAGGAGGCTGAGGGGAGACCTTCTCGCTCTTTCCACCTCCTTGAAAGGAGGGTATAGCCAGGGGGGTCCGTCTCTTCTCCCAAGGAACAGGCGATGGGACAAGAGGAAACGGCCTCAGGTTGCACCAGGGGAGGGTTAGGATGGATATTGGGAAAAATTCCCAATTCAAGGTTGTGAAGCCTTGGCAGAGGCTGCCCAGGGCAGTGGTGGAGTCGCCATCCCTGGAGGTATTTAAAGCCGGGCAGACGTGGTGCTGAGGGACATGGGTCAGTGGTGGCTTTGTCAGCGTTGGTTGATGGTTGGACTGGATGGTCTGAGAGGTCCCTCCCCAGCCCAGACGATTCCAAGACGGACATCTGCAATACGGCAAACACCCCTGCGTGCTCTCCGCCTGGCCAGATCCGGTATTTAAGAGAAATCTGGGCCTCTGCAGCCTGACCCCCCTCACTCCTGTCTGTGGCTCCACCACAGCCCCGCCCGGCCCCTCAGCCTTGCCGAGAGGGGAGGGGGGGGTCCTGGGGGTCCCTCTCCCCGCTGTGCCCTCAGGACAAGGCTCCATCTGTGCAGCCGGGGGCGGGGGGGGCCGCCCCCTCCGTCTGCCAGGCCCGGAGCGGCGAAGCTGCCATTTACCGTGTCCGTCC